TGGTCAAGAGTAACCACCCATTGCAACCATATCCCGTTCGAATCCCATTTAACCAAGCCAGTAGAGCCGGAAAACTCTCTCTCTCTCTCTCTCTCTCTCTCAGACACGAACGTATCAGTCATAGGTGCCAGTGGAAGACGAGGGGAAGCATTTGATCACAAAAAGCCCGAGATGGAGGACGACAAATGAAAAAAAAACCATGTTGGATAAAGAAACTTCTCTGCTTTCGATTTTCGATTTCCCGGCCTCCACTATAAGAGGGAAGGCAAGAAAAGGGCAGGACAATGTTGCAAAAGGTCATGAATATAGGAAACGGAAGCAAATTGCTTACTTGTAGTACTACGACTGAGTTTTACACGTCATAACCCTCAAGTATCTTTGGGGCCTACTGGAATACTCGGAATGGTAGCAAAGCTTTCAGTGAGTGTTTCGATATAAAGACATGCATGTGTCAAGGTGCTAGGTTATATCGCGATCCAACAGAACGCGGTTCTGAGTACGAGTCTCAGGCGGTTTGAGAATCACTCATGGCGGCCTCTTATTGGGACGATACACCCATGGTTAAGTCGGAGGATGTATCCTGCTTCCTCGGGAGGAAGCGAAGTGGATGAGGAAATTGGGCGCAACAAGCATTGAAAATCCCACCTATTAGCATAAAGACCCTTCTTTGAGCTGTTACGTGAGATTGAAGGCTAGATGAGCATCTGTGCGTTTGTAGAATAGACTCTTTCCATTGTTACAATAGTGTAAGAGCTAAAGGGACTACCTCGAGAGGTCCTCGGTGTACATAGTATACTAGCTGAATAACCCGGATTGCGCGGACGAAGCCCTCTATTCACCCAACCATCAGGGCAATCTCCTCAATTACTTCTTCTCGGCGGGGGGAGCTGCTCCTCCAGTAGTAGGGAAGCCCATAAAGATCTTGAAGTAGTCCTGTCCACTCATGTCAGTTTCTGCCACACTTTTCTCAACAACATTTTGATGTTTACTCACGTAAATCATCCACTGGAGACCGGTCAGGGTACCAATCATGACGATACGGACAGGCAGGCCGTTCCAGAGGCCAGAGAATCCGATGTCCTTGTAGATCCTGCCCATGGCCGCACCAAACGCCTCGCCCTGCGCCCGGTTCGCGTTGAGCTTGCTGACCATGACGTCGGCTGGGTGGGAGACGATGGCGCAGAGGATACCGGCCAGGTAACCGCTGACAAACGACACGCCCGTCTGCGCGGCCTTGCTATAGTCGGACTTTTGGCCGGGGAGGCGGGCGTACATCATCTCGACAATAGTCTCAAAGGAGGCGAACTTCATCATAGTGTAAGGGATCTGTCGGCCCCAGAGCGGGTATAGGCCCTTGTAGAGGCCTCCCCACCCTTCCTTGGCCGTGATCTTGCTGATGCCGTCGAGAGTGCCCTTGTAGGGGGAGGGGATGCCGCCCTGCATGCGGACCTTGACGGCCTCAAAGGGGCAGAGGGCGATGTCGGCGAGGAATTCGGCGGAGGCCGAGGCGGAGAGGAAGAGGATTGTCTGGTACTTTTTGGCGTTGTCGGGGCCCGCGAGGTCGGCGTAGGTCTTGAGAGTTGCATGTTAGTCACGGGGTTTCCTTCCCCGGGCTGTGACGAGAGATTTAGCATGAATAGTAGTTGGTCTCACCTTTTTGAAGTATTCGTAGAATCCGTACTTGCAAGCTCCCTGCGCGGAATATCCCCAGAAGGTCGGGCCCCAGCCGGTCATGATGCCGCGGAGACCTTCCTTTCGGAAGATCATTCCCCAAGCCTGGAAGTTTCCGCGGTACAGCTTCGAATCGATTTGCCTCCTCACTTTGACGAGATCCAGAGGAGTCACGGCGGTATGCGTCAAGCCCTAGCGTTTGGTGTTAGTCGTGCGGTCCTCATGTGTTACCGTCGCGGCCGGGCGCCGGGGCCCCGCGCCGTTGTGGGGACCCCGGACCGGAGACCAGGTCACCCGTCAAGGACGACGACAACGAGTCAAGATCAAGAAAGAACAGGGGAAACTCACGCAGGCCATGAGACCACCGACGGTGCAAGCAGCGTAGTATTGTCCAGAGTACAGCTTAATCTTGCCGCCGGCCGCAGACTGGGCCTTGGCGCTGGCCTTTTCAAACTCGGCCGTGGCCTCGGCACTGAGCTGCTTCGCCTTGCCCTTGACGTCGTCGACGGTGGAGAAGGCGCCGTAGAGCTCGGGGCGGGCCTGGTAGCGCGTAGGTTTCGCCATGGCCGTGGCGTCCGCCGTTTTGTTGAAGCGGCTGTTGAAGGGGGATGAGAAGCATCCCTTGAGGGTGTCCTGTCTGGGGTAGAGGAACGACATGGTGGTCGGGACGCAATTCGTCTGGACCGGAAGGATTGGACGGTATGTGAATTCTTACGCCAGGATATCTGGCCGGTGAAGTTAGTCGGGAGGTAAGGCGAGGGACGATTATACCCCTGCGATAAGCTTGAGAGGCGGGATGAGCGCGCAATTGAGTTTCACTATAGAAGTTCGAGCTCGGAGGAGGCGGGCGACACTGGCAATAGACGTTCAAAGCGCGATGTTGAAGGGGGCAACCCAAAGATGTTGAAGATGTCTACTTACCGAGAGAACGAGCTGAGAGGGGTTTCTAGCTCAAAGAACAGTAGGAACGGAGAGTAGGTGCAACGTCAGTCACGCGACACAAATGACCGTTTCCGGCTTATGCGAGAGCACCTTGAGGACCGAGGATTGGTTACTTCTCGAGGATACGGAAGCAGAGGGAGGCAGGAAGGTTGCAAGTGAAGCTGTCGCAAATACACATACACAGGAAGAAGAGGGAATCAGAACGAGGGAGAGGTCAGAAGCAGGTTTATTATCATGCGAATATAATTGGGGGAAAGGGGGCGCCGGCGCTGGTGAGTGGACGGACAGGATAGCTCAGGAAGGACTGGGGGTCCAGCGAGCGAGTGGTAGTTACCTTGACTGCGGTAAGGTAGAGGAGGAGGAGCCCAGAGATGTGAGAGAAGGGGTCGGTTCGGATGGTTAGGTCACGTCCATGTCGCGGGTACCTCGACCTCATCGACAGTTTGCTCTGCAATGTCTTCTGGACTTGGGTAGAGCTTACGTGCCAGTGACCAACAGCTGCTGCGGAAGGCGTCGGGACAGTATGGGTGACATCACACCTTAGAATGGGGGGTCTGGACCTCGAGGCATAGCTGTGAGAGGCTGTACTGTGTACTAGAGCAGAAGTAGCTCGAGTGGGGCACCGGTATGCGACAGAATACGACGAGAGGAAAGGCTCCCGTGTTATCGCGCAGTGGCCTGCGCTTATCCCCGGATTTTGCGGAGCTTCGCCGTGAATTCGTTGTTTCGTCTCCCGGCGTCGTTTTTCATTGCCATCATCCACCGACCGCTTGTCGATTGGCTTTTCCCTTATTTTCTATTTAAGACGTCTTCAATCCATCTTTTACTCGCGATTTTGTCCCGTGTAGTCTGCAAAAAATACCGGAATGAAGACGGTGGAGATACGTTACCGACTGACAGCGATAGAGCCGATGGCCCAAATAGGAAATTGCTTTGAAACTACACTAAATCATCTAGGCTGATCGTGATCATGAGAACTTCCGTCGAGGGATTTTTCAAGGGGACTTTTTCGTTCTCGATGCGAGAGACAAGAAAATTTCAGCGAGCAGATGACCGAAATTCTATGGATCTCATTCTCAAAATGGTAGGTACAATCTGGTATTCCTTGTTTCAACTTCTTTTGATATTTGTATCAACGGGCTATTTATTCCGTGATACTCTACCCGATAGCTCCCGTCCGGTGGCTTTGGTGACTCTTCAGCAGCAGCACCCCGCTGTGGAACCCGCCCAAAGCAGGCAGCTTCAGCGAAACCTTAACAATTACCTGCGGATACCAGGTGCAGGTGGACCGTGTGAGCAGCTGGATCCCACCCCCCACCTCGGCGACATGCATTCGCAATTGCAGCAGCCGGCCCCCGGGCGCCCATCAGCGGCGCGCGTCTGCGAGCAAAATCCGAGACACCGCCCGACTATCAACTGTGGCGTTTCCCGTACCTTACCGCCAAATCTTTCAGCCCTGTCGACACCGCCCCTCCTCCCTCCAAAAGAACCCCGCGATAATTGATATCATTTCCCAACTCAACTGCACGAGCGACCGGCACCTACCACGATTGACGATACCCACTCTGTCTCAACTGTCGACTTTAATCGCGACGAGTGTTCACTCGAGGCCCGAAAAGATTATCAATTCCCAACAATGGCGGCTCTGGCTTCCACTCCCGCCGCCGCGGCGCCTACGTCGCAAACCAGCGAAACCTCCAGTCCCTTCGTCTCAAAATGGTCCTCCCGTTACCGCGGTGTACGTGAACATCCCCTCGAAACTTACCCTCCCTTCTCCCGTCCCTCTGTCCCGGACCACAGACCTTGAACCCTTCCCCCCCCGACTAACCTCTTCCCTCCCATCGTAGGCCACAGTAGAAGACATCGACCCCCCCGCCGCCCTCTCCCTAACGCCCACCGATCCCATCTCCCACGCCCTCATCTCCGCCTTTGAGCGCGACTACACCCACCTGACCGTCGTCGACGCCCACCGCGCCCTCGTCGGCTACCTCGCCATCCCCCACCTCCAGGCCCTCCTCGACGCCGGCAAGGTCAAGCCCGAGGACCCCCTCTCGAAAGCCATGGTCCGCTTCCAGCGTAAAGGCCGCACCTACCGCGTCATCACCATGCAGACACCGCTGGAGGAGCTCGAGGCCTTTTTTGCCGGCGACGGCGTCGAGGCGAAGAAGAGCCACTTTGCCGTCATCACGGACGAGAAGAGGCGTTTCGTACTGGGTGTCGCGACGGTGCAGGATCTCGAGGAGTTTGTCAAAAGGAGACCGGCGTGAGTGAAAAGGGCTGAGGACAGATCGGCAGCGGTATACGGAGAGAACTAGAATGACGGCAAGCATCCAACGGTCGTAATGAATCTATGGAACGACGAAACATGGTAGACGAGACGGTTGGCTGCATCAACTCAGGCGTTGGCGGTTCGCATGTTGAACCGAAGGGAAGCATTGGGACCATGACTGGTAGACAAGCAGACGATTCAACATTGCTCTCTCTTTGTCGTCACGTACATTTTTATAAATGAGCATCCACAGAATAGGTGTTTTTCAGACGGTTTCAATTGCTATCCATGCTCTCAAAGTCTACTCTTCGTCGGGCTATTTCCTAGCCTACCAGCAAAACGGCATGGTGCGTCTTGCAAGTGCGAGTGGTAGTCATGCTTCGTGTGTAGTAAAACCGGTCCCATCATCCAACCGCAATGTAAAGAATTCCCAGAAAACGCCGCGTGCGTCAGATTTAAGGAATGTAGTCGTAGACGAGGCGAATCTCGACTCTCTTACCGCCCTTCTGAACGAGAACGTTACGGGTGTAACGTCTCTCGCCATCGATGGTCTGGAAGCCCCAGATCTGGGAGGCAGTCCAGCCGTTGTCGATGCTCTCGACGTGGCTGTAGAGATGGGTCTTGCCATCGGGGCCGGTGGCCTCGGCTTCGCCCTCGAGCCAGCCCTTCTTAAGGAATTCGTCCTCGATCTCGGCGAGAGTCATCCAGCGGCTCTGGCCACGGACGCTACCGAACATCCAGTCGGAGTGCTCACGCCACTCGTTGTCGACGCAGCGCTTCTCCGTGGTGCCCTTGAGGCCGGCCGTGGCGAACTGGTCAATATCGAAGTGGGTGACGGGCTCAGTGCCGGTGGTGGGAGGGGAGGGCGAGGCGGTGTACTGCTTGACGTGGAGGGTGACAGTGGCAAGGCTGACAGCCTTGCGGGTCATCCAGCCAATGCCCTGGAGGGCAAGGGCAGGCTCCGGTGAATCGGAGAGGGTCTTGTTCTATTGGGGCTGTCAGTCTCCTTTCTTTGCACACCTGCTCTGCTTCGTGGTGCTGTCCAGAACATGGATGAACGTACCATGACCCACTGGCCATTGAGGTCGGCGATCGTCTTTGTGGCGGGAGCAGCCATTGTGATGTGATGTGTATTGTGAGTGTGAATGTACTTGGTTTGTATTGCGATGAAAATTGACCGAGCAGCTATTCGGTCTTTTATGTCCTGAAGCTTTGGTGAGCTTCAACGGGTAGAAAGGGAGACAAAGTGTGGTGGTGGCGGTAAAGTACCGTTAGGTCGGTGTGGTGGTTGGAGGGGTTGCAACGGGGACAAAATGTCAATGGGTCCGCAGAGGTGAGATACCTACGTAAATGTAGGCCCGGTTCGCAAAGGTGGAATGTCGTCAAGCCAAAGTCGTTACTCAAGGCTGGCACAAACTCTGTTTCAGGTAAGCCACCTTCTTCTTTTTGTTTGTAAATTGGCGGTAGAATAAATAAGAAGATGGGAAAGAACAAGCTGGGCTGAGCAACAAAGGTGAAGTGGAATTTGACTCCGGATGGAATGCGCCCAATCCGTCGGCGCCTTCTTATACGTCGCCTGGTCCGGCATCAGCTCTTTCCAGTCAGGTCAAGTCAGGAACGAGCTCTTCAGGTCCAACAGGGTGCCTGCCGCAGTACTCCGTACCAACAGCTTGAATTGGAGTTGGAAGGTACCTACCTACCTTACCTTACCTTCCTTACCTTGGACAAGCGGGGCGGGGAAGTATCCCTCCCCACACTGACACTGCCACTGCCACGCTTTCACATGAAGAGAACAAGCTCTCGCTCTCTCTCACTCTCTTCTTCGCAATCGCTCAGCCAGCCCCGAACAAGGACAGCTCTCTATCACACGAACCTTCTGCGACAGCTCAAATGTCGGGGCCGAGGCTCGCGAGACAACCTTCACACCCTTACGGTTTACCCCAGACCCTGCCAATCTACCTCGAAAAGGGAACGCGCGTGAGATCATGACCGCATACACCCTTCTCTGCAGACTGCAACCTCCCACACCCAGAACTACGCTCCTGTCAGCATTTTAATCCTCCTCTTAACTCCCCGAATCTGGGCATGCCAGCATACCACCTGGACCTGCGCGAAACAAACGGCCAATGGCAACAACCAGCCCGACACTCACATCCCCAATCTGGCCGCCTAGCCCGGTCCGGGTTGCGTCCATCTAGAGATAGTACGGGGAACGTAGCAATCCGAACAACCGTTCAAGAAATTAATACCAGAACATCGACCTCGACGATGCTCGCCCCCGTCCCATGCGCACCCTGAGTGTCACTTCCCAATCAGGCAGCCAAGAAAGGACAAACCCAGGGGTGAACAGACACCGCAGGTTCCGAGGTTCGAGACAGCGCTGAAGAAGACACAGAAGAAAAAAAAAAAAAGACCAAACGGGCTCTTGCACGGTCTTCATGATGCAGGGCGGGCAAGGGTCATTACCTAAAGCAATCCAAGGTAGGCATATGCATGACGGGTAAAGCAGACAGACGCAGGGACAGACAACACCTCACAGGCGCGCAATTCGTCTGAGAGCTTCGACACTGCTTGACGCTTGTATCCGAACAGCAATGTCGCATACACCGACAGCTTCTTTCCCTTCCACTCTGCCCAATGACACGACGCCAATCACGAACTCGGTCCTCCCCAACTCTCCATCCCGTCTCGGGTCATCAGGCGGGAGATGCCACCCCACGGCTTCGGCAGACTTTTGGTCACACTCGGCCTTTTCAGTCCTAAGCATGTGCGGGACGGACGCTTACTTTTGCTCGTGGTGGAGGAATGGGACGGGGGCCCAACCAAGCGAGCTGCATTCTTTTTCCAGCCCAGGCTCACTCTCTCCGTCGATGGGTTCATCTGCATAAAACCTCCCACAAGTCTGGCTCAAACGATCGTGTGGTGTGCCAATCTCAGCATCTCAGAACATTCAGCAGTGGACTCGGTGGTCGACTAGTTGCGTACCACGGCTGCCCGTCTCGGATACCTCATCGCACGACAGCATCCCGTCAGCGGCCCTCTGCCTCAGCTTCGGTTTCACTGCAGACATTTGACAGCTCGCACAGTAGTGCCAGCCGACCATTGTCGACGTCGAGCGGACCTGTCTCTAGTCTCCTGGCTCCTGAATCAGACCCTGAACCGACCATCGGGGAACGATGTGTTTTAACAGCCGTGCCACAAGCGAGCGAAGCGAAGCCCAATGAGATATTCCGAACCAGACTCGTCTATTCAACGAATCGTCTCGAGGATGTGCGGTGCCTGACTGGGATGACTCTTGCGTCCGAAAGGGTTCCGGCCGATGGACGAAGCTTCGAGCCTTCAACTCCTCGAGATGGTAAGCAGCGCCGCAGCGAGGAGGGAGATCCCTCGTTACGGCGGGGCCAAGCTCCAAAGAACTCAGTCATGCAGGTAGGAGAATCCCAGCTGCCACGGGGCCAAGAGGTGGCCGTCCGCGACGTTCCCGCCCGCGGAAAACCACACGTGAGAGCTCAGGTACAGCTCCATTGCTTTGAACTGCTTCAAGAATTTGCGCGCTCAATATTCGTACGGGGTTTTTTTTTCTGTTGCCTAATTTCGTCGTGGATTACTACCTTCAAAAATGGTGCCAATATACATGGCCGGAGCTACGAAGAGTAATAAAAGGAAAAGGATATCTTGGTTATACAAATGCCCCGGCGCTCCCCGCCATCGGCTCCTGAATGCTGCTCGCACGCAGTGGAGTTTCCAAACAAGCGATTCGACTGATATCATGGCGCGCGCTCTCTCCCCCCCCCCCCCCCCCCCCCCTCTCTCGATTCCGCAACCCGCGCCTGCGCCTGCGCTGGTGTCCTCCCCCGTTCCTTCGAGTCGAACGAACCCAGGCCGAAAGTCATCATCCGCACGCTTTTTTATGCTTCTAGTTCGTTTCTGTCCGTCGTCCGTGTCCGTCACGGCCACCAGTTCATCGTCTTGTAGCTCTCAATCACCTCCTCGACCAATTCCTTGGTCAACTTGGGCTTTTCGTACTGGAAGCCAACGACCTGCTCTAAACGGTTGCCGTCCATGCTCAGATCCGTATCCTTCAATAGCTCCTTCTCCATAAAGGGCGTGAGAGGTCCCGGCCGCGCAATGCCCGCCTTCTCGAGCAGTTCGGCCCACGGTCCCATAAGCTCGTCGTTGACATCGTCGACGACACTATCCATGTTTAGGCGCGCAAATGTGCTGATGAGTTGACCCTGGAATCCCGTCTCGATCTTGAAGATGTCGCCAATAATCTCGGACATGGTGCCTTGTGTGGTGATGCCCTTGTCGACAACGTTAAACGTGGGCACCTTGCTCATGGTCTTGACATCCCACTTGTCCTTGCCTTTGCTGTACCACGTCGTGATATCCCAAAGTGCTCGTACGGCATCTGTAATGTGTACCGTGTTCTGTCGGAGGCCCTTGTCCCACAGCCACTTCATTTCGCTCTCCAGGTATTGGTAGACACGGGCCATGCAAAGTGCCGTTGCGACCCATTGCGATGCGTACGGGCCGTAGACGTGTGCTAAACGGACAATGATGAGGTTCAGTCTAGAGAAATAGTGTCGTTGAGTCAGCTTGGAATGATACACGACGATGCGCTCCGCAAGGTAGACGAAGCTATGGGAACGCTGGGTGGCGAGGCCCAGGATACGTACCCCTCAATCTTTGCCAACTCCTCTTCGGCTTGCAGCTTGTAGACGGCAATTTTGCTCCAAGGCTTCAGTTTGTCGCCCTCTTTGCTCGGGGACGAGTCGGACTTGTAGACCATGCCGGTGCTGAGTTCGATAAAGGCCTTGACCTTGCGCTTGGCTGCCTCCTTGCCAACGGCAAGCGACAAGCCGAGAGAGCGCAACTTGTAAACCTCATCCTCTTGAGAATATCTCGTTTCGCCACCGCAATTGAAGACGTAGTCCCACTGTTTGCCGTCGGCGCGGTCGAATATCTTTGCTAGGGCTTCTGCACGAGGGCAAAGAAAAAGCAAGAAAAGTTAGCCAAGAGCAACATCACAGTGGGTGGTTTGTCTAGAATTTGTGTCGGTTGGCAAACTTTGGAGACGCCAAAGACAGAGAGGAGGGGAGGGGAGGGGAGGGGCCCCAGGGGTGATAGATGGTGAATGGGAGAGGAAAGGAAAGGGGGAAAAGCAGGTCGTGTCGTCGTTCAGGTCGGGTGACTTACGTTCTCTGCTTGCATCGGCCTGCATGAATTTGCTGCCGGCGCAGGCGTCCTGGAATTCGGGAGCAAGCCATGCGAGTTGGGGCAAGGCCTTGTCGACAACGCGGACCTCTGATGCGAGGTCATTGTCGTGGATGTAGCGGGCCAGGAAGCGACCGATGTAGCCTAGCCCCCCGATGATCAGGACTGAGGGTTTCTCGGCCATGGTGAAGGGAAGGGGGAGGGATTCGGTGGCAGAGGCGGTCGGTCGTGTGGTTGTGCGTTTGTGTGCGGTGTTGTGTCGTCGGAAAGAAAAGGATATTATGAGCAGCGCAGGTTGACAAGTTTGGGGGCAGAGGGGTTCGAGGTCGTGGTTGTGGTGGTGGTGCACTGGGCGCTCAGCGGCAAGGCGGGAAGAGGTACCTCTGACGGGCAGGGACGACAAGGACAGCGAGGGTGACGGACGGCGGGGTTGACGTCTGGTGTCCAGGTTCCCGTCGAGTTAGGGGTGATTTGCGGCTTTGCCCTGGCCCCCTGGAACTGAGAGTTGCAGCACCAGGATTGCGCGAGTTTAGTGTAAACCACGGTGCAGCGGGATGGATGCGGGCGAAGCTCGGCAGGGGGGGGGGGTTCGAGGGGGGCGAAGGTCCAACCGGGGTAGTTGGTGGGAAAGACTTTGGGGAGGGCGCCGAACGAAGATGGCAGACGAATGGCCTTGATTAGGTACAAATTACGGATATCAGGGCAGCCAATGTTGTTGAGGTCAGATGGCAGAGGCGGGGAGACCAGTCGGAGGGGTGGGAAGAGGAGGAGGAAGAGGGAGGAGAGGAAGGACAAGAAGGAGAGAAGCGGACGAGGGGGGCGCAAGAGCAATAATGATAAAAAGGAGGTTGTAGGCTTGATGGTGGTGTGCGTATGGACAGAGATGCGTGGGTGCGTCTGTATATGTATATATGTGTTTGTGTATGGTATGTTTGTGCGTCTAAGGTAAGGCAAGGTAAGGTAAGGTACGGATAGGTGTGTGTGTTGTTCTAGTGTAAAAGATTCGAGTTGGTTGGTTACGTCTAATGATATCGAAAAGCACATAAGTAAAGGTGGCAGTGGCAGTGGCGTTGCGCACGTCGTGGAAAAAAGACAAAATCGAAAAACTTGAGACGACAGATGGCCCTTTCCCCTTTTTTTGTGTTCCCTCCCGTGCAAGTATCAGAAAAACAAGGAGGCAATAGTCAAAATTTTAGCGGAAATGCAGCAGCATAAAAAAAGAGACGAAACAGAGCAAAGACGAGCTCCAGCACGGAGTATCCTCCAATACAATGGTGCTGTCATTCAAAACGGGGGCTAGATGGATATTGGAGCGGGCCGTGGAACGAACGGAGAGCGGATCAAGGGACGAGGGGGGGCACTGGGGGGCACTGGGGGGCACTATGAAGACTCGAAGAAAGTGGGAGGAAAAGAGGAGATTCTGGAAATGACAATATCCTAGGGATACGGAGTACGAAGTACACACACACGCACACGCACACTCACAAGTGACAACACTCACAGTCTCTTACTTCTTGACGTTCTCCCAGCATAAGGTCAACAACCAAGAGGTTTCTCGACAATAATTAAGCTGGTCGATGGATTGCTGGTGGAGGTTTTATGCAACTTCAAACTTCACACTTACAGAACTTAACCCTGCCATGTACTTTGGCCTTCTTACTTGAGAAGGTACCCCGTGGACAACTCCTGCCACTTACTCCCCGCCAGCATCAGGTCCAGGTCACGTCCAGGCAGGTCCAACTCCCAGTCTATTCCTGCCTCAATTACTTACTCGGGCTGTGTACTCCGTACTTCGTACGAATATTCACAAAGCAAGAGCGAATACGTACGGAATATCCGTAACTTACCGGTAGGTTGCTATTACCGAGCCCCTGCCTGCTGACCTCACCACCACCATCTCACCTTGCTTATCTACCCGAGCTTAGTTAAGGTAGCGTAGGTAGCTTGCAGCAGCTTCTCGTCGGTGTCCTCCCGCCATCATCTCAAGTTTCAATTTACGCAGCTCGCTGACATGTCCTCTATTGTCCTGCCTGCCGTGCCAGCTCCGTCTGAGTCACTCCGTTTACACGCTAGCGATCCTTTGCTTTCTCCAAAGACCAGAGAGCATCCTTTTCCAGCACCCTGAACCCTGACTGCGGCGCAATCCACCAAGAAGTCAATCCCCCCCGATGGAAAGGAACAAGTTCTGGCGGCGGCTACTGCGCTCTATCTTACCGATACAAGCACCTTACCAAGTGCCGTGCTAGGGTTTCCGCCGTATGAATAACATTGGTACGCATACTCCGTAAGGTGCCTCTACTATCTGAGATGGGCCGCGATATCACTCTGACTAGGTAAGCCAGCGTTCCAAGGGGCGAAATGCCACCGACCACGAACTAAAATTTACAACTACAGCTCCGGTATCGCATGCTTATCCTCATCGACCGTCTTCGCCAAGTTGCTTCTTCGCCATCCACTCGCTCTCACTCGGTCACACACAGAAAAAGGCAATGGGGACTCGGGAGCCATGGGCTAGACACCAAGACGGCCTGCTTCCTTGCCGCCAAATTTACAGTGCCCCGTGCTCCCTCAGAAACCCCACATCGTTGCAGCAGCATATCCCCCGGTCCACTCCATGCCCGTGGCGTCCACCATCTTTTGGACAACGACAAGCATCCACTACTATCAAATCATCACAAGAGGGGAGGGGGGAGATCAGCCACTTTCATCGATGAACACTCGTTCTGCCGGAAATCGAAAGCCAGACGGGAGACTCGTGTCCGCATGCTGCCCAGAACCTTCAACCAGGCCTACCCCCGTCACCTCTTTCCCTGGTTGTCGTTATTGTCGTCACTTTCTTGCGTCTATTGGCTCCATCGAATCCCAAATACACGGCAGAGACATGCGCGCAATGCTTCAGAGACAGAATATACTCTACAGAGAGACATCGGTGCCATTCTTTCAGAAAAAGCCATCCAAGGTACGCGCCCATGGTGCCCTCGCACTGCAATTCCGCGCCCTAATTGCCTTCTATTGTCCAATAATGTCTCTCGACAGCCTCGGATTCTGTTGCGTTCCGACTCAGGTTTCTCCCAACACATACCTGATATCGTGTCCACCCCTTCCCGTGCCACCGAGATCTTCGCCAAAAAGCAGGGAACAATCCATGCCCGATGGCAACTCGTCGATTTCCCTCCCGCTATTCCCGGTCTTCCACGCACGCACGCACGCACTCACACTCACTCACTCACACTCACTCACTCACACTCACTCACTCACTTCAACACTTGCGGCTTGCCCTGCGTGCCTGCATGCCGGCCGGCATCTCCGTCTTTTCTTTTTATTGTCCGGCCCGGGCCAGGAACCACGGCTATCCACAGTCCATCCCCTCAAGTCAAGACAGTGATACAACAGATCTTGTCTCACCATCAGCCTCGATTTCGAGTAACACGACCATCTCGATGGAAACAAATTACGAAATGAACAATGCGAGATCCAAAGGAAAAAATAACTTACTTCTGATTGGCTCTGCCGTTACTGTTGGCTACCTTGCGGCGTCCCAAGCTTCCGGCTAGCGCCAGCGGCGCGAAGTGTCCATCCCATGGATCCAGCCCCGTTCCCGCTCAGGGACCTTCCATGATGCGCTTCGCAGATGGGTGATTCTTGTCTAGGCCATGTCGCCGTATTTCAACTTTAAAAGGGGGCAATCAGTGTGACAGTAAACCGCACACGCACCGGCGCGCTCCACGGGCGGGTTCGGGCTCTGGCTCAGCTTTCGGCCATTTGGCTTTTCGCTTTTCGCATCTCCCTGCATCCTGCATGCGGGGAGTCCTAGAGGAGATCTGCTGCATGTTCTAGAAATCTTGTGGGATCTGTTCTGCAACGGAGCACCCATATTTTCTTTTTTGGCGAGAGTGAGGGCTGATCCAATTTGCCAACCCTTATTAACTTGTCGCTTTTCACATCGGCTATGCCCCTGAAGATCAACGAGGGCACGAGAGACATTGACTTGCGTCGTACTCACTCTCGTGTGTGTTTCCCAAAATAATCGACTTTGGTGACCCGCCACCAAAGAACGAACGCCAGCGCCAGCGCCAACGCCAACGACGTTGGAACTAGGAACCCAGACGCCTTTGGCGCCAGAGACAGAGCCAGAGCCAACTATTGATCTTGCAAGTCCGTCATCAAGCACCAAAGCTGAGCAGGCTCCACAGCACCAACCCGTGCAGCAACCGCCAACTATATCAGATTTCTTCTCTGCAAACCAACCCCCGCCTTAAATGGACAGCTCCCGCGTCGGCGCGTTAGCCGCCTAAACTTCGACAGGCAACGTTGGGCACCACTCGCCCATTACGACCTTCATGCTCTTCGTCATCAAACAAATCCTGACTGCGCCCCCCAAAGCCTATCGTAAGAAGATAGAGAGCCCGGCGTTCGCTGAGTGTCGAGGTCCGCGTATCTCGCATCTTCAAGCATGACACACGGGACCGAACCGGGCATGGAGACTGAGTCCTACGATGCCAGGGTCGCTGGGTTTGCTGTGAAGCTTAGCTGAGAGCTGGGCATATCAGCTAAGTTACGGGTGTTTCGACTAATCGGATCGACTTGTTCGATTACGTGTCCCAATTCTGAGAAACGAGAACGAGAATCAGAATCAGAATAGGGAACAAAGTCTCTGTCAGCTCTGTCCCAAGTTGATCCGAACCTCTGCAGGACCCCTACTATCGGTCCTAACTCGACGTACAGTTTTGCGGCGTGGGCAGTATTATGCAGCCGCGTTTCCTGGTACACTTACAAACGCCACAAGGCTGGGAACTGCTTTCACATCGGCAGGTCTCCGACTGGTCACCGTGTGCAATGAATCCGGCTTTCCAGGTCGTTTGGCGGTGTATTCTCACGATTTCGGTCCACGTTTAGTTACCCGACAGTCGTCAAATTCGATTCCCGGCAAATCACTCCGAGGACGCGGCCAAGGGGAACGTGCTGAGGAAAGCAATCAGCCCGCAACTAAGCTTGCTGCCTGTAGGTGAGCTTTGCCAATTTCATGATCGACCGCTTCGCATTCCGTTGCTCACTTGAATGTCGTCGTCTCTCGATCCTTGCGGTGAGTATTGAAAAGTGAGAATATGGTAGATTCTCAGAAGTTGCCCAGATTAGTTCAGCTTGGAAACTTCGCCGGAAGCTTACACGGGTGGCTAGCCATGTTAGCCGACCTGTTTGCGATATCCCTACCTCTTGCCAAGTTCCCCGACCTTTTCTTGCCCATCTATTGAAGCGCTTTGGAGCTACCTCGCAATCACCGCCTCTCTCGTCTGAGGTTCACCGTCCGATTGTCATCGTAGCCATTTTCAGGTAAGTTCATAGATAGCCTCTCCCGGTAATATTGTAAACAATTGTATTTACACAGTGCTTAGCTGCGGTTCGAGTTAAATCCAACCAAGTCCCACCCAGTAAGCCGACCCCGTAAGTCGGGACTCTTTTGCTAGAGACCAGAATCCGTTCCCTTCATCTGTGGATGACTGAGTTGAAAACATTCAGATCTTTGCGTCAAGACACAATGATGGCATCATTATTTCAAACCACATAGACCTAGAATAATTCCTCAAAGTGCAATTATTGTCCAGAATGGCTTTCCGAGTGCGTACCGCCAAATTTCTTTGTAGTTGCACTTTGAAATTTGTCCCATACGGTACCCCATTGCGTTGCCATCAACCGAGGTCAGATGTTCGCAAGCAAGAAAAGAAGACGTATATTCGCCGAATCTGATGTGACATGATTCGTGGAACTGTGAACTAACCGGCTGTGTAACCCTGCTGAAAAAGATCTCCAGATTTAGACTACATGTCTCTCTCTCTCTGGGGTTTAGATCGTTAACCTGAGTATCTTTCTGCATCTTCGTGTTCATGACTTTGAAGCCGGACTGTTCATCCCATCCAAGCGCCACAGTAACACATAGATCCATCGACACCTTATTGAACCACAATTATATGCCGAACATCGGAGACAATCGTCTCAAAACTTTTAATCAAACCGCATCAGACATGGGACACTGTAGTGGAAAATCACTCATGGACAAAGAGTAACACAAGTTTTTGCAATTCAGCCACCATCTTTTTCTAATCGCATACTCATTCTCGCTCAGAAAGGGGGTGGGGGGATGGCTACAGCCCTGCTGCCGGAGCAAGAAAATGCATCTGCCAGGGATCTAGGGATTCAAGACAAGAGAGAGGCAATCCCAATCGTTGCTTTTCTCCATCCCGACGCCAACGCCGCACAACAGTGAGATCCGATCTTGGGAGATATTGAAAAGCCCGGCTTGGAAAATAAAACCGTACAACCCGATCTCGATATCCAGCGCCACGCCCCCGTGTTACTCATCTACCATGGACCTCGATGCCCGCAACATCATGAGCGGGGTATCAATTGTGCTCCAATTTCTAGGATTGCAACTTTTTGATGAAGCTCAAGTAGGACCGGACCGGGGGCTCATCACTTCTGCATGCTCCCGATAATCTCCCTCTGCGCCGCGCGGTCCCTACCAGCCTCGCTAAGGCTACCCACGCTCCGCAGGTCGCCGACGACGTCCTTGGCCTTGCCAAAGTAGACCTCCTGCAGCAGGTTCCGCATCTTGAGCTCCATGTCCTCAACGAGCCGTCCCACGTTGGCAATGTGGCTCTCGTCGCCGTCAACCGGAAGCTCCTGCTCGACCTGCCGTGTCATGTTGCCGCTGAGGTCCATGTCGCCCAGGGCGTTGGTCGAGGTGGAGAGCGAGAGGATGACGGTCGAGGTGAGCTTATACTGCGTTGTTCGGCCGCGCTCAATGGCCTCGAAGACGTGGATCGAGTCCCATACGCCCTCTGCGCTTCCGCCGGGTGTCGCGGCTGTGGTTGGGAGATGTTCTGTCAGCTAACGGGCTTGTTCCTGATCGCAGGCGTGAACTCAATGGGGACAAGAGAGGCCTTACATTTCTTCAAGAGAACCACGCCGGCGAACCCATCGTCCAGATTCCAAAAGTATACGCTGCTCACACCACCCTCGTAGTACAGGTCTCGGTACACGTCAAACGCCTCATTGGCCTTGACCTCCATCTTGCGGACCCTCTCGCTGGGGATTGCGCCCTCGCCGGCACCCTCGCTACCACCGGCACCGACACCGCCGACGCCGCCCTCATCCAGAGGCGGGTCAAACTGGTTGCTCCATGGGGAGCGATAGCTGTCGCCGTCGCGGTTGTAGTCGCAGAGGAGGTAGTCGCGGCCCGTCTGCTTGCAGCGCTTGACAGTCAGGGGCTGGTCGACGGACGAGAGGAGGTCCTCCGTCAGATCCGGTGCGAGGGAGATGATTGCATTCAGGTGGTCGGTCGTGTGTTTCGGGTTCAGGCGGCGGAGGAGGTCGCTAGACAGGCAGACACGCGGCAGGTTAGAGATGAATTGCTTTGATGCATGACGTTTGGGGGGGTTCAGGGCTGCCTGCAGTCTTACAGAGCCGAGTCGAAAGGGTCGACGGAGGCCATTATGGGCTCTTTGTATGCGTGTCTATCGTTGGAGGAGGTCGTCTTTGAGCGTGTTCGGGGTCGTTGGCGATGAAAGGCTGGCGGTGTCGATTGGATTTGGATGTTCCTTGAGGTTGGAGTGTTACTGTTAGCGGAAGGTCTGGCGGGGTAGACGGTCCTTAGCCCCTGGGTGTTACTTCCCCAGGACCCCACAGCCAGGGTGAGCTCTGGACTGCACCTACCACCTTGTGTTGAAGAGGCATGGAGCTACAAAAGTCACGTCATAATTTGAGGTACCTACACCTACCTCTCTACCTCTTTACCTAGCTGGACAAAGGGAGGTAGTTCTTGGAGCTGTTGCCACCTACATCTCGAGTCAGCAAAGCTCTCCACTGTATCCTTAGCTACTGGAGCTCCTTGTGTTGGATGGCAATAGTCACAGTGAACGTATAAGGCACCCCAAGTCAATCAAGCAAGTATCAATCAATCATGGCAATGGCTGATGCAAAGTAAAAGAGGATAAGGTAAACATTTGCATACAAGCCATGTAAGCTCTAGGAAACTGCTCGCAAGACTCTGGTCTCCAAATTGGCCGCTCTGCTGGCCTTGTTCACACTTTTCGTCCCCTTTTGTTGGCGTCCTTCTGTCTCTTGAGGATATATCAAGACCTATTCCATATGCCAACCTCACTCAGTTGCGAGATGAATGCCCCCCATTCGCCAACGCCTCGCGCGAAAAATAAAACTCAGCCACTCCCGAATAACCAGTCTTCTTCCCCGAGACTCGCCTTCAGTTGTCCACGTCTCGCCCCGCCTGCCCAGGCCTGTCTCTCGTCCCCTACAACATGCCTCTTGGCATCTATTCCTCTCCCAATACTTGTCTTCAGGGTCGATTTACGAACCCAGTCATACTGGAAATCGTCATAAGCAAAACAGCGGCACCTCCTAAGTCACCGCCAATCGGTGTGTTGAACAAGGTGCCTGCTGGAATAAGTACAGCGAGAAGTGAAGCTCGGCACCCCGTTATCGCGTAGGCGTGTTGTAAAATGACCCCTGATTCAGGGGATCGATCCATAATTTGGCAGCCATGTAAAGGCCGATTATTTAGCTGATCCCCACTCCGCAAACGACGCAGAGCAGCGGCTCAGTCCACACCTTCTCGCCTTCGGTGACATTCTCTCGAAGGTCCCTGATTTCAATCGTCGACGGGGTCATGTCCATCAAGATCCTCGCCTCGAACAAGCCTTCCCACGGCTTTGCGTCGGTGGAGGACAGCTTCTTCTTGGCGGATCTCGCCTTGCGTGACGCCGCCGCCGACACCTCGGGTACGGTTGGTGTGGCAGGGGTTGTGGGTGGTTGCGAAACACGCTCATCGACAACGGCAGGTGTTCCCTCGGCCACTGACTGCCCATTGGTCTCCTCCGGCGCATCGCTCGGCTTGGCGTCGATTGTTTGCTTCACATCGGCACCGCTCTCGGTCGGGCTGAGGGGTTCGTTTACACCGTCATCGAGCTGCTTTTCGTCTTTGACCTTTTCGCTCTCAGCGACTGACGCTCTCCCGTCTGTCGGGGGTTTCGCGGTGAAGTGGGGCTTGTCCTTGCCTAGTCGCTCGTATGTTCGCATAAGAGTTTCTTCTCGAAGACAGTGCTCGTGTAGCCATTTTCCGCATTCCTTGTTGGAGCACCCGACGAGGGTCTTATCCGGGTTGGCGGGTTGTCGGCATTTGCAGGTGCGTTCGACTGACTGCATGACGGGTTAGCTTCAAACGACCAATCTAAGCTCCGAGGGGTTGTGCATACCGAGAGCTGCTGGGTGCGACAGTCGAAGGCTTGACGCCAATAGAGGGCCTCCTGGATCTCGTCGTCGTTCTCTTCAATCCATTGCTTGACGGTGGCGGGCAATGTCACACTGACGACGTTGATGATATCCACTGCTTCTCGTCAGTACTGGAGGTCAATGTCTCGCGAAGCATAGAACCTACTATGGTTGGAAGCAATCAGCTCGTTGTGACCGTGGTAAGGCTGACGACCTCCCGTGTATCTCTTCCCTTCCATCGTGCCCTCCGGCAGCTCCTCCGGCCAGTACATCCAGTATATGCGCGCATAGACGTGGTGTTCGTCACTAGCGCGGATCTCCAGAATGCGCGCTACCCAGTCGTCTTCAGACTTGGACCGCTTCAGGACCTTCTCCGGCTCGTTGGCATCTGTCGAGCCTTCCGCTGCGGCCTTTTGACGTTGGACTGTCTGGTCGTTTGCGACATAGATAAAGCCCTCACTGAAATACTTCGTCCCGTTTACTATCGCCCACGTCTGTTAGTGCAAGGCCATCGCCGACGGGCTGTTGTTGAACAACTTACGGACAAAGCTATTGTATCGCGTCATCTCCAACCACTTCTTCTGCGGGTGCACATGATATTCCAGGTCCAGAACATCATTGGCGCTCTTGCCGTTGAAGTCACCGGAAGGGGAGAAGGGAGAGAGTTGCTTGGAGCTCTTCTTCCCGTCCTCCTCTTCTTGCTCTGGTTTCCTCCTCTTCTTGGATTTCTTCTGTGCCTTGATGTCGGGTTCGGCATAGGTGATGCTGAAGGGGCATTCGGCCTTGTTTTCCTCGACCTCGGCGCGAGGGCGCTTGCGCGAAGTAGACATGATTGATGGAGGAGGAGGAGGAGGTTCGGAGTCGCAAACGCAAATGCGGCGATATTATCGCGGGTATGGAAGCGACCGAGGTGATGCGATTTCGATTGACGGTGTCCGAGACGAATGACGTTGTGTGCAAAAGCTCGCTGGGATGTCGCGACCGAAGGGAAGGAGCACGGGGTGGCTGGAAGACGGATGGGTCGCCCAAAAGACCGGGGGGTGGGTATGAAGCTGTGTGGCAAGCGCGCCGTCCTAGATGGGCGCTCTCGTTGACTTTGACAAGAGTGCAAATACTCTGGTAAGCCTGAGGATGGTCCAGGCCGGATATCGACGACCAATGATGGCCACGATGCGCAAAAATGGGAAATTCGCGGGTTAGGTATCTGGCAATTCCGGGACGAGGAGCGGAGCGCGTTCTTGCTAACCAGCGAAAAAAAGGTGGCGCAGGATGATTATTCTGCTGAGTCACGTGAGCGCGGCATACCTCCGACGAGCGTCCACTGCCACCCACCCACGATGCGGGCAGTGGGCGTGCGGCGTGCCACAGATGGACCGGGCGTGTCACGTAAGCACAGCAGACAACAGGAGCTAGAACCATCCGCGCCTACCAAAATCCTGGTCTGCCTCCGAGGTTCCCACAACAAGCGCCGACACTTATTTCTCCGTTATCTGATTGGCTATATAGCTACAGCAATGCGCCTGAATCCAACTTTAACACCGGGCATCCGTCGTCTCGTCTTTCATTTTCCATGAGCTTTTATATTATTGATATGCCGTCTTGCTAGAGAGGTGGCTCGAAAGGCTAGCAGTCTCATCATCATGCAGAGTCGACAGTCAACAGACCAATTCTCTTAATGACTTCCCTTTTCCCGAGTAATCCAACGCCAATATGAACAGAAGAGCGGGGGCTCAAAGAGTAACAAAGAAGATATGGGACACGAAGGAGGCGGCGAGGATGTTGGAGGCGGTAAAGACGACAAGCGAGAAACAACAAAGTCGACTGTTCATTACTTGGCGCTTTTGAGTAGAACATGCAATATCGCTAACTTGATTGACCTACGCCGTTGCTATGCAGATTTGCTCCTTAATGGGGGCTCAATTACCCCTCGTCCGGTTATGCTCGTGTTCGACTTCTTCCTCATCATCGTCATATGCGCTGAGGATCGGGCGGTCGTCGCTGTCCTCTGTCTCACTGCCGGTTTCTCCCTGTAGACTCTTGAACCCCTCGATAGTCTCCGCAAGTTTTTGACCCTCTCGCTTGCCACGCTCCACGTTCACACTCCAGATGAGAGGCGCCGGAAGCCCAACCAATGCCGCCAAGAACCAAAACGCCGGCCGGATGTCACCGGACTGATCAATGATGGCTCCTACAATCGTAGGCCCAAAAACACTCGAGCCTTTGTCCGATGCAGCGTATAGAGCGTAAAAGGCAGCTTCGCTTCCCTCGGGAATCAGCTCGCCGTACAGCGATCTGCAGTACGAACTCAAGCCTCCCAACACCAGTCCGTACACGGCAGCAAGAGGGTACATCTCCCACGGTTGCTGCAGTCCGATAACGCCCCATCTCTGTACAATCGGCAAATATCCGAGAAGTCCGTAAATAGGAATGAGTTCGAAGAGGCCGATACAGACAAGGATTGTCTGATGCGGCTTCAAGTTGAACTTGCGTGAGATGAACGCCCAGCTGAAGGCACCGATGACGCCAGCTATTGTGGAAATGACATTGATCATACCCAGGGCCCAAGGCTTCATGTGGAGTTGCGTTTTCGCGAACAATATGGCCGTGGAAGACGTTGTTGCGATCGCGTCACTGACCAAAAACCATGCGCACAGGAACAGGACGATGTCTCTCAGGCGACGAGCCAGCCGGACAGTATTGAACAACGATTTCCATGCCATGGCCACATAAGTTGGCCACGCTCGGATTCCTTTCCCTGACGTGATGGGCATTGGTGGACCTGGCCTAGGGCGGAGCCACATGGCAGCAGGGATCGTGAATATTGCCTGTATTATGGTCAGTAACGGTGGATAATGCGCCAAAGCGACGGGGATGAGATAGAAAGAGCTCGCTACATACCCACCAAAGTCCGCAAAAGGACAATGCGACCCTTTGCGACCAGGTAGTGTTTTTCAATGCAATCACGATGGCGATGGCGACACACTGCACGAATAGGCCAGCAATGTAGCCAATGCCAATCCCCTTGGCTGAAATTTGAGTCGACAGTTGGAGCTCGACTGAGGTGAGCTCCTCATGGGTAGCTTTCCGAACCAAAGGGTAACCCCCGTTTCCGCTTCCGATTCCATGCCCGCCGAGCAAAGCCGAATTCTGGTCCTCAATGTCATCGGCGGCGGAATCTTCGTCGATGTAGGAACCATTGAGGGGTCGCGACTCGAGATCCGAATGTCCCAGGTCGGGGGTGTGAACAGTCTCGGACGCAATTACCTCCGGATGATGCCGGACCAACAGGGGCAGGAATGAGTTGAGGAGCACGAATGAGGCACCGAAACATGTGTTGGATATGATAGCCAACAGAGCACCCAAGAGATAGGTGGTCTTGTTGACAAAGATGTAGGCCATGACGGAGAAACTTCCAACCCAGGCGAATGTGAGCAAAAGCTTCTTTCTCGAGTTGCCGTGATCTGCGGCACTGCTGACGCTCACAACAAGGAGAACCTGCAGCAGGACGCTGATGGAGAACGTGTACATGGCGAAACTCGCCGTGTTGATCTCGATACCCAGAGGATACACGACGCATTGTCCATCCGTTTTGTTTTTCGAATCACTCGTACCACACGGGGTCGTTCGATCAGAGAGGAGGACGCCATTTTCGCGCGCGAGGGTCTCGAGGAGGATGGGGATGAAGGAACCTGAACATCGTGTGGTGTCAGCGCTACGAGTTCGGGGGGCGGGGTGCACGGCAATGCTGTGGCGCCAGCATCTCGAGCTGTCCAGGCTCCACAGCTTGATCACTCTATAGCGACGAATGTCACTGCTCGACTATGGGAGTGGCAGACTGTGACGACTTACCGATAGCTATTCTCAGTCAGCGCATGCACACACATCCAGTTCCATGGGTTGGAAGCTTACCACAGATGACATAGGTTTCGGCAGCAAAGGCGTAGGCGTACCAACCAGACAGCTCTTTCTGGCTCGTAGGACGAGTGTCTTCGCCTTTGTAACGGCCTGGACCGTGGAGGAAACCGTCACTACTGCTGCCGCTCATTCTGTCGAAGTAGTCGGAATCTGTATCGGAACGTTCGTCATCGGCCTCAAAGTCGGAGGTGAAGGAGCGAAAAGAGCGTTTTGACAGAGTCGAAAGACGCGACCATAAGCGTGGTGCAGGCGGTGGTCGAGCGTGTTGTTCTTGTCTTGGAACCATGGCGGCTGACACGGGTAGGCCGCAGGTCGGCGCAACTTTACTGGATGGGCAAGGTCGGACAGCTGACTCCTGCGCCTGTGCGGGCCTGTCCTGTCACCTTGTCACCTTGTCTCACCGGGCGGATGCACTCCGGTCGCAGCACGCAACCAGAAGAAGGTCCAGATGGTCCGAAACTGGAGAAATGTCTCTTTCCCGTTGTTTCCGTCTGTTGCAACTTGCAGCTGCCTTGAGTTTAGGCTGCACTGCTGCAGAACAACCCGCGGGAACCTGCCAACCTCTGTTGAGCACCTCACTTCGGACGGGGTACCAGGCACAGAGTACCTTTACCCAGGGAAGATAACTTACCAACCAGGCAGGTAGGTAATGCAGTCGGATAATGCGACCGCGGAATGCCAATGCCAATGCCAATGCCAATGCGGATGTAGATGCAGGTGCAGTTCGGGCAAGGCACCTAGCACTGAAGCGTCGTACTCGTCGCAAGTGCTAGGCACCTCGCCAAATGTGAGCGCCGAGTTGATGACGGGCTTGTATTCGGACCCCGCTGATGCTGATGCTGCAGCTGAGTCGAACCACTCGGTGAATTTCCACCGTGCTGTAGGCTGTGGTAGCAGTCACACTGTTTTCCGAGGCCGGGCTCGTCAATGGAGTATTCGCTTGTGAGAGCCTGCCGATTCCGAATATAGGGTGTTGGCCGTCATGGGCCCGAGACAAGAGGCGACTCGTGAAATGCGGCTATACGAGTCGTTAAACGGTGACCGTTATGCGTCAGTCCGAATACGCCGTGTTTGAGTAACAAGGACGGTCTTTGGTTCGCGGGGGCAGCAACATATGGCCGCAGCGGTTTCTGTGAGTATCAGGATAGAGGACGAACAGACGAGGCAGTGTTCGAGAAGAAAGAAGAACAAGAACAAGTCGAGAAAAATAAGGCGAGGCAGGTTGATGTGTCGTCAAGTTTGCAAGATCCGGCTGTGGGCCGGCGTGGTTGGTTATATGGCGTCGCAAAAGTCGTCGAAAGCAGGCCGGGCCAGAGCAGAGAGGCAAGGACATGGACATCCAGGGTGACAGTGTCAATCCATGGTCTCTCCCGGCCTCTAGCTCCATGCCTACTTCGTCGCTCTCTGCCTTTTCGCCTGTCTCCTGCGCCGCGGCTCCTTTGCCGGAGCCGTTCTAAGCTGAGCCAAGGCCACCAAAGGCCCGCCGTCCGCCGTTCATCACTTCGCATCTCCCCTCTCAACCTCCTCCGCCCAAACCGCTCTCCTCGCTGTGCGTCTGTACGGAGTACATAATCTGTGTAAGGGAGTCGCAAAATCTTCTCCAAACCCCCCAGTCGCGACGAAAACCGTTGCCCAATCTTGCAAGCGCTGCGACGGCAAACATGGATGCATCCAACTAGATCATCGCCGATGGGACGGTGTTCCTTCCTAGCGCCGCTGCCACGCTTGAAGCATATCGCGCTATGAGGCAATGGACTCCATTTATCGTGAGAGGATGCGCGTTGAACGACATGCGTTGTGAGACGAACCAGGTTCTTCATTCGTCCGATATTCCATGGCCGGCATGCGTCGATGGATATGCGCTACATCCGCCTTTGGGATTGGGCATTGATTGCACACCACAAATTCCCCATCTCCAACCACCATGGCCATTGGCACTTTGCGTTGCCCACACCGCAAGAGGCTGAATCCCACTGCATTGGTTAATTCTTCAACGGCCTCCCCGGCTTCCATGGTGTTTCTCTCGTTCGACCTCATAAGCATGCAAGCCCTCCCTGGTCAACGCGATTCAGCGTGTCAACCCCACCGGATTCTTTGAAAACTCCGAGCATCGTTGACCGACGCTGTCCACGGACTCGAGACCTTTGATAGCTGAACTGCCGGTACAGATCTGCTCAGCTGTACCTCACCGGGTTAGGTTCTCCAACTCTCCAGGTTTTTGTATTTCTTGGCTTGTCAGCCGTGCCGTCTTGGAAAGGGTTGGTTTGTCAGTCGAGTAAAAGCAGACTTAAGACAGGTATCTCAATTCGTGTGAGGCGTCCCCCGGGGGGGGGGGGGGACGCAGTTCAAACTGCAAGGCTCAGTTCAGTAGGATCCTGCATTCGACCACGTTCCTCTGGCTTTCGTTTATCTCAAAAACGCAGGTGCTGTGTGTGTTGCAACCCAATTCTCGTCGAAGCACTGAGGCGAGGTTTAATGGCGATCCAAACCGGACTGGGGCTTGCGGGGGCGGGCATTCTGCAAGTGCCCGAGCGATCTGCGATTCTCCTCGCGCCAGTGAGCGTGTCTGCCCACCACAATTCAAAGACCCGTTGGACCCTGAGCGACGATCACCGACATGTAAATCGAGTCGACGTGAGAGAAAACTGCAAAGCGTGGACGTGGCGATGCTAGCGCATCGCCACGATCTATGCTGTAAATCGACAGTGCCGTGAATTTTTGGCAACAAGAATCTGGGGAGTAGCAATGGCGGCGGCAGCCTGTGTGTACTCCATACGGATGCTGAGGATGCCTGTCACATCTCAAAAACGTATGCGGATAGCTGTCTGCATTCCGCGAAAGTTCACCGCTTCAGTTTAAGGTTCCGCGAAGACGGGTCTCGATGCTAAAGACCCATAGAATCCACGGCGCTTGTCCTGTGACCGGGTGAAACAGGATGTTGGAGCCCGAGTAGCCTCTCCATGGATATTTCGATGCAGCAATGCTTCCACGACAAGATGAAGTTGAAGGTTGACGTGTAGTTTGGGTAGGTGTTTGCAAAGGTGAATTGCTTCCGACCACACTGGTTCCCATTTTCGGAGTTGAGTGGTTGAGCACAGGCCCGGCATACCCTGCCGAGTTCTGCCGATTCCAGCTACACCGCCCACCAGTCGGGTCTAGCGCGTGTGCACTGACCACATATCTCCACACTGAGCATCTCCGAGACTCACTCATCTGATATTCACAGGACACACATGAGATTTCACACCAGAACTCACAAACAAAGCAATATATCCCACATTTCAGGGGTTCCAATCATCAAATAAACAATGGCGAAGTGCCAGAGTGGTTAATGGGTTTGACTCGAATCAACTCTGTATTTTCAGGGCCTTCAATCAAATGGCTTCGGCCGCGCAAGTTCGAATCTTGTCTTCGTCGTTTTCTTTTGCTTTTTCCACTCATGGATGAGTTGCATATTTTTTTTTGAGTAATGACTTGTGTTTCGGGCTTTTCCAAAGGCACTCTCTCATCCAGACTCACAATTCCAGTGAGGAAGGTCTTGGTGGCTTGGTTGCGAGGGTGCTTCCATCCGCGCGCAACCCGCGCTCACCAAAACATGGATCGACACATTGGGATGGATGCATTGCACGGAACACGATGAGAGCTGGTTTGACGGGGATTTTGCCAGGGAAAATAAGTATGCCAGTGGCAGGATATCATTCAAGAAGTCGGGACAAAGTCCCGACACGAAAAAGTTTCTACGAAATGGGGGATATCGTGAAGGGTATGTCAAAAACAAACTTCCAGCCCAGGTCCTACCAGCATCCGTCACAAGAACAAAAACGCACATCAACATCCCAAATTACCGACCTTCTCCTTTTCCCATCTCCGTGCGCTTTTTTCAACAGAACAGTCGTTTCCTTCTTACTTCTTGTGGAAGGGTGCGAGGATCTTGGCCTTGAGCTTGTCGGCGACGCTGACGCCCGAGTGGCCGTCGGCGCGAGCCTGCGCAGCAGCCTTCTTCTCGTGGTCAATGTCCTTGTGTGCAGCCGACTTCTCCGTCTCGACGGCGTTGCCCGCGCCGCCCCGGCCGACGTGGTAGTCCTGGCCCTCCATGGAGGGGCGGTAGGCCTCCTCGGGGATGAGGTCCTTGTCGGAGCGGGGAGCGGGCTCCTCCTTGGCGTCACCGATGTTACCGGCACCTGGAGGGCAGGGCGCAACCAGTTAGCCTACAGAGCACGAAGCGTTTGACTGTGAAGTGGTTGCAACATCTGAAGACATCATGGGGTGGAGAGCGAGCATGGTTGGGGGCGGAGCATCAGCCAAGTGGGCGAATGCGCCGAAGCCGCTTGGCGGGCTGGGTGATAAGGCGATGCGCTGGGCGCACTCGTCCCGCGTCAAGACTCACCTCCTCGACCTGCGCTGAATGCGCCAGTTCCCTGGGACCCCTCAGGGCCTGCTCTCACGACCTCGCCGTCGATATACTGGGTGTCGTCAACGGCCATGTTTCCGGCGCCACCTCTTCCATGGGATACTTCGGCAGTCATCGTGTTCGAGTTGTGAGGTTACAGGTATGATGTAGGTTCTGCGGTTCGCGATTTTGGTGAGTGAGTTCGAGTGGGAATGTGTCTCGGGGGAAAATAACGTGGGTGCGCAACTTTATTTGAGTAACTTCGCAAGATGGGACGAGAGAATAATAAAACGAGAACAGGTACGTCAGCGATATTATATATAGATAAGGCATCCGTTCCTGGCAGCTCTCTATCGTACATCACATCATATGGTAAGGTAAGATAAGTGAAGTGTGAGGTACATCGACTTATCAGTGAGTGTGAGTGAGCACCTAGTAAGGATACTCCCCCGCCCCCCAAAGCTAAGGTTATCTCCGTGGCAGAAAGACAACCCATCCACGAACCTGGGAGGCAGCTCATCAAGCCTGCCACTGAATGCGGGATGTCTTAGTGTCTTGGGGGCCGCTGGGCGTGGGGATTCCAGGTAGATGATACTCCTACGGAGTAGTGAGCCAAGGTTTCCTTCATCTTTCTTCGAGAAGCACTTGCACGTGCTTGAGAGCTAACCCCCTCCCTCCACAACGGTACTTCTACACACATGGCATACTGGGACAAGCCAACCAACGGCTCGATGAGACCATCAGCGAATGAAAGCAGCCCCTGCTCTGATAAAAACTTTTGGTTTACGTACCTGGATTTCGTGAGAGCTCTGAGGACATTACGCATCGACATCAGCCCAGCGCTAGCCCCCAGTGGGCGCCGCCATCGGAACCCATTCCTGTTTCTTCGAGGTCACTTTGCGCGACCAACTTAGAATCTGGGTTTAGCATGCGTCGCAGTCACTCATGGACTTTCCGGCGTGCTGGTATTGCGCCCATGGTCGGTACCATCTAACCATCAGTCACTTGACGTTCCTGGCGGAGCAGTCTACCGGTTCGAATGGTTTGTTATTGAGAGGTCAACCTTTTCATCATAACCCCGGTCCCTGTCTACTGATGTTCAGTGGATGTCGTCATTGCCCCTCACCTGATAATCTGCTACAGCTTCATGTCGCGCACCTGAACCAGTCAAAATTGTGACAATATTCTTAACGAAGTGGTCTACCTCATCCTCTGGCACATTCGCAGTCAAACACCCAGTCGGACGAGTTGCATACAAACTTAAACAATTTAATAATACGACAAGTCCGCACGACAGGAATTAGGATCTGTTCAAACCGTCCATTCCATGGTTCATTCGCTCAACAGGCGCCAGAAGGAAAGGGATGCGACTTCACCAGAAAGAACAGAAAAACGGAAGAAGAAAAAACATAGTCAACAGCTTCAGTGCTCCGCTTAAAACTCAGTATGAATAACTATTTGTTAGTTCAACCAGACCACAACCTGGAATACTAGTATAAGGCAACCCCACAGCACCAAGCGGTGCTCACTGAATTCAACAGAGTATTAGCACGTCACCCAGCGAACGCATACGCTTCTCGGGCTTCGTCTTGGAGGGAAACGCACGTATTCGGGGTGCAGTCAGACCGACAGAAAGCTCTCTCTCTCTTAACTATGCTAGATTCGTCGATTTCCGGGGAGTTTGGGCAATATGACTATCAAGTAAGAGGATCAAGGGGACAGGATTTTTCGATTTTTTTATACTGTCGTTATAGCGGAAGCTATGCCAGGTTTCTGGTGGTTGGTTTTGAGCAGTTCTGGATACGGGATTTCACCACTGAATTCGACGGCCGTGCGAAGCCACGAATTCAGATCAGATCCGACCTTTTCTGCCCTCAATTTAGATACTGCCAGTGTTGGAATATTGGCAAAAAGAAAGTTGAGTTCGGAAGGTGGTCTGAGCCGGTTGCAAACGGGTCCTCCCGCCTACTTATACCCAACGGAGTTATCGATGGGCTCTTGATACACATACGCATTTCAACATCACGATTATTAAGCTTCGTACCGGTCCTCAGGGTGCCCTGCTGACGTATGTACCAACACTGATCAGTGGTTGAATTCCACTACCTCAGATCAGCAAGGGCACACGGGTTTCAGAAGAGGCAATTCCGGTATCAGTATTCTCACCTATTACCTATTAACTTAGGTGACAGCGGATAGTAACGCTCCGGCCCGTTCTGACCTATCTTGACATCCTCTCAACCTCCTCGACACGCCTCAGCCGCCAGACCGCTGGCTGCTGAGAGAGGGCGTTCTAGGGTGCCTACTTCACTTCGACTTCCTTCCGCCTGCTCGCTGCGGAAAGGTTTTCCCCTCGTATACCACTGCCAGGATCTAATGGTCACCGAGATCTCTAACTTCCACTAGGACTCTTCTAGGGCAACCTGTTGAACGAAGGCTCTGCCTAACGTGGGCATCTTCTGTTTGCTGCGAAATTGCGGTCAGCCTAGATTCCGCGGTTGTTCTCCTCCTCGATAAACGGAAAGTGGCTCGACAAATAGAAAAGTGCCAGAGTTTTCCCTGGACGGCAAACAATAGCCGCAGGGCCCCAGGCAATCACTCTGGCACTTCCACTTCCAACCACTTCGACAGCAAGGGCCAGCACTCACAGATCTTCCTCCAATCACTTCCACCTCCAGCCAAGTCGACGGCAAGCTGATATCGTCCATGCTCCGTTTCAGGCGGCAGGAAAAGGCCTTTTCAAAGTGTATGTGGACTTTGTCCACTTTGAGACGGAGCTCGATCAACGATAAGATGTTGAAGATGGTGTAGAACTTTGATCAATGACAAGATGCTTAGGCCGACTGGATCCCGGATAGCGAGGTAAATCTTTCGATGTAGGAGAGGCTAGGCTATAGACTAAAATAATTTCAATATTTTAAAAGGGATTGTAAGTGAATTCTGGTCGGCTATCTAGTTTTTGTTTGTGCTAATTAAGGTGTTATTTTAGAAGTATAGTTAACTATAGTAATTTTATTTAATATTTCGAGAGGAAGACTCGATATTGATACTATAATAATCGAGTAGTACGATATGATGATTATAACTATAGCTAGGAATAATTAGGAGAATAAAGCTTAAGGTGCCGTTGGTGCTATGGACTATATTAATCTTTAGTATCCTCTGGGAAGGGCGGGTAATTCCTACTTTTCTCTGACCGAGGGTATATAACCGGAGGGTAGCATATGACGCTTCGATTTGGTTGGCCGTTGTAGTCCTGTGTCTGCGATGAGCGGGTGTTCTTCTCTGTGGTGTTTGTCGAGGGATTTGAGGGATCAGAACAGGATGGTGACGGCAAGGAAAACTGTTTTCCGACTGGATCCCGAATGGCGAGATAGATTTTGCGATAAAGTAGAGGTTGGGCTCTGTTGGTATCCCCATCACAGGGTAGTTGGTTCGAACCGTGAGGCTCTGAGGGTGACGAAGTATCAATTGCGGTAAATTGATCGATTCTGCGTAAGGATGTAAAAGGGAGAACCCAACTCCGGGTAGTCGAGGTCTACTTGAGGCCCCTCGAGGTGGCCCATGCTCTGCCCTTACTCGCGGTCGAATTGGGCTTCCAATCCGACAGGCTCCTCCTTCTGCCACTTCGACGGCAAGTGCCAAGGGCCACTCACACCCGTGCTTAAGATAGCAGCATTCTACAGGCGGCTACCATTCAACACTCCACTTTCCAGTCCTAGCATCTTTACTATCCCTGTTCCTGCCACTCTCTTTCCAGCCAGTCTTGATGCTATCGCTGTCGCTATTGCTGCTCTCTCTAGCTAGTTCTCTCAATGTGCTCTCTATCCAATGTATTACTAGAAACCTCAGAAAGTCATCTTAATGAAGCTGTTAGTGATGAGAAAGAGGAGCCACCTTCCCCCAGCCGCGATTGCCCTCACGCCGATGTGTCTTTTCGGCTCGGCTGCCCGTAATTGTCATTGCCCACGCCCACGCCGCTTCCTACCGCGTCACCGCGCGCTGGGGAAGCCCATTCACAGGGCACTCGTGAGTTTCTTCAGTAGTACGAATGGTTTGATAATAAATATAGGAAGAGACTAGCCGCTTGTACTGGGCAGCGCACCGTCGGGCCGTTAGAGAGGAGGAGGAAGAGACCTCTACGCGGGGTCTGTTGTGTGATTCATTTTGACTACCGCTCGCCGGTGATGCCACTCGAATATGGTCTTTTGGTAATCTCAGGGCAAACAATGAGTCGAAAAGTGACATGGCGTTTAGCTGTTAGTCCGTGGTAGAACAGCGGTCCAAAGCCAGCTTTCTACAAACAAAAGCGCCTAGGTTATGATCACCAACACTCCAGTCACATAATTTATGAAACGTCTTCATATCTGACTCTTAACCTGTACGACGGCCTCCCTCCCCTCTTCTCGAGAAAAGACACTACAGTAGTGATACCGAAATGAGAGGCAGCCTTGTGAATTCTTAGTTGGTGGGTAGCATTGATGCCTGTCAGCCCCAGCCACTGTTGCGATTGGCCGCAGGCCGGATAACTAGCTGAGGCGATGCACCACGATGCTGTTTCTCCGCTGTTATATGAAGCTTACCTTCATCCCATGCCTGCACTCGAGAGGGGGGTATCTTCAATCTTGCTTCCACGTCCGGCAATCCACACGAGATGGATCCCATCGCCATCATAACGGGTGTTGTTGACCTTTTCGGCGTTGCCCGCCAAATTCAAGGGCTCGTGGAAAAGTACAAAAATGCCCCCCAGGCTGTACACGAGATCATCGCCGAGTGCAACTGGACGAGAGGTCTGTGTCTCAACTTGAAAGAGCAAGTCTCACAGACCGACGCTCTCAAGAACCCGAGCAAAAACAGCATTGAGTATACGATGCGGCAGCTGTTTGATACGTGCATGGAGAACATGGAGAAAACGCTGAAAGATTTGGACAAAGAAGTCAGCAAGGTACAGAGCAAAAGCAATTCGCGCATGGGAAAGTGGGATAAGACGAAGTTCTTGTGGAAGCAGGAGATATTTTCAGATGCTGCGCAAAGTGTCCAAGCCCAGAAAGCCAATCTTGGCATCATTATGCAAGCATTGCAAGCGTATGTACTTGAGCTGGGTGCTGATTAAATCAAAGCAACAATCTAACGAGTCATAGGCGCACTGGCAACAAAGTAGAGGAAGACGTCAACAATGTACAGAAGGGGGTCGACAATATTGAGGGGATGCTTAAACTAATCCTGGATCAATTGTTGAAAAGCCAAATCGCGGCCTCAAAGTCAACACCTCAACTGGGTCTACAGCCGCCACCGGAGCTGAAGAAGAGTAGATCAGACACCCAGATAAACACAACAGGCAAGCGATTTGCTGACGACCTCTTCAATGCCGTTCGAGGAGGGCGACTTGAAGACCTTGAGCCCATTTTGGCCCAAGGCGCCTCTGTAAACATAGCTCTAGGAGACCGCGGTGATCGAGCCGTACACGTCGCTGCTCGCGAGGGATTCCTGCTCGTCCTGGACCGGCTTATTGCTTCCGGAGCAGACGTTAATGTCCAGAACACGGCCCAGGACACAGCCTTACACCAAGCGCTCAACCGAAGACAGATTCCCACCTCGCTCGCGCTGTTGTCGAGCGGGGCCCGTTGGAAGATCAAGAATGCCAATGGGACCACGGTACTACACACGGCTGTAAGGAATTCTGCATATCTTGTTGTGCAGTACTTGCTCGATAAGGGGGCAGACCCGAATGCTCGAGACAAATGGGGTCAGACTCCCCTTTTCAAGGCGTGCCATCCGGCGGACAAGGATGGCAAAAAGGCCAATGTCGACCTGAAAACCATCCGCTTGCTCGTCGAGCGAGGTGCCGATCCAACGCTTGGGGCTTGGAAAAACGGCAGCACTCCGATCCACGAGCTTGCCTCGAGTGGGCACGCGAAGGAGCTCGAGATCATGGCCAAGGCGGCAAAGACGCTCGAACTGCCGCTGTCAGGAGACGCTCAGGGCCGAACGCCGCTACTCATCGCTGTCAGGAACAAGCACTCAGATGCCATAGACGTTCTGATCAAGTATAAAGCCAACGTGAACGCGAGAGAGACTTCCAAGGACAACACGGTTCCGACTGCCCTGTGGCACGCCGCGTGGAATCCGGATCTGAGTATCGCGACAAAGCTTCTCGAGGCCGGCGCGGATCCCAACGCAAAAGGCAACGATATAACGATTCTCCATCTTGCGGCGACGCAGCATTGGCTGGAGCTGGCCAAGCTGTTGGTCAAATACAAGGCCGATCTAAATGCAAAGTCATCTAGCAAGGATACACCTCTCCACGCGGCAGTATGGGCCAAGGACTTCCCGATTACCCGGCTTATGCTAGAGAATGGGGCCAAAGTAGAGGCGAGGGGGAGCAGCAAAGCGACTCCGATTATGGCGGCTGCCCAGATCGGCTCGCTGCCCATGGTCAGGCTCCTGCTTAAGCACGAAGCTCAGTGGTCTTACACAACGCCTCAAGGGACGAATGCGTTCATATGGGCATTGAGTGGCGGAAGCGCCGTCTGCGCAAGCTTCTTTCTTGGCTGTGGTCACGATTTGGATCAGAAGGCAGATGGGGATTACACCGCGCTACACTATGCGGCGAGGACAGGCAAGATGGAGTGCGTCAAGTTACTTCTAGAGCTGGGCATCGATAAGCAGGTCATGCCGACGAAGATGAGGGTACCTTTCAAGGTCAAGGGAACGGCAGCTGAAGTTGCGAGGGCGCATGGGGCTGTTGAAGTGGCCGAGTTCATCGAGAGATATAGGGGCGAGTAGAATACTGAGAGAACCATGAGTCTTGTTCAAAATAACCCTGAATCCGAGCTCATGTTGAACGACAGAATGAGATGTAAGTGGAGGAGTATGGTGTTACTTTTACATTAATATGCCGCCATCCTTGGGACTATAAGATATCGGTCGTCATACAAATGAGAACCAGCTCATCCCTCGAGATAATAGCCTCGATACTCCTCTTACCCTACATAACAACCTACAACATTCGGTAGCAGGGTGCTGGATGACAAGTTCCACTTAAATTGAAAGATGAAGATAGGCGGATATAGACGTTCGATCGGATTATGACTTTTATCGAAAAGGCTCCTGAAAAGTAAAGAAAGAGTGTTTCCACAACATTCTGTATGGGACAATGGAGCCCATTTTCCCAATGCCCATTATTGCTCTCATCTTGCAATGACAGAGTTTCATGAACGGAAGATGCAAATGCTAAGCTATCACAAGGGGATCAATAAGTTATGCGTTTGAGTGAGAGGGCTCAAGCCAAAACACACAAGTCTGATCGAGAGACTTCCCGGGGAGGTCACCATTACAAGAAGCATCCTTAGCTAGATGTATCCCAGCTCAGGATGACTTGCTCCCTTTGAGCTGGCCCATCTTCACCACTAACCATACGGGTTACGATGTCTAGGACAGGGTGAAAGACGGGGGATGTCGAGAAACACCTACCCTACCTAGGCCCAACAGCAGTATCCTCTTCTCAACTTGTTTCCTTCCCAGCTGCCTTATCTTCCTCACACATGTTTTTCTCTCGGATAACAATTGAGGGAAACAATCGACTACAGCACCCCATCCTCAACTTCATCAGTGAGTCTTATTGGACCACTCTATTCCAGTATCTATAGGACATCAGACCTAAACATGCAGCAGGACACAAACACCAATCTAACTCCTTTTCCCTTTCTACAAAAGAGAAACACGGTAGCTCGCTGTTTTCTCTGCCTGAGAGCGCATTCCCACGCCAACTCCATCACCCGCCTCGAAGCATCAAAGATGGAGAATGTCAATCAGCCACTGGACGACGACGACGAACTTCTCATTGCGATTAACTTGCGTCATCTATTTATCGCATCTTCCAGTCTCCTATTCGCCATCTTCTTCTTGGCTCTCCAGGCCCTCGTCTTCGGAGACCCCCTGGCTTGGGAGATTCGGTATCAACTCATCGTGTATCTCCGCACCCACTTCATTATCGCCACCGAGGTTTTTTTCATCATCCACAAGGAAGAATGGATTGATTTCTGTCACCGACACCGCTTATCCGAAGAGATCGAAAACTTTGGCTCCATGTCTTACGTTTGGCAGCAGATCCTCCTATTTGACCTCGAGCGCAAGCTGGTTGCGATATCCAAAGAGACCCCGCTTGGACAGAGCACCGGTGTGGTGATGGCGACCTTTATTGCACTGGTAACCCTGTACGCGGTATACAAGGCTTATCCGAAAGTGCGATTTCATTCGAAGCTCACGTTGAGCAGATACCAGGCCGCCGCTCGGGCTCCCGGCATTGTGTATGTTTTCCACTATTAGAGAGGTGAAGGGCTGTTGGGATTCGAATCAGGACAGAGCTATCTCACTCCTATGGCTAATTAAGAAGGAAGGAGCGCGGGCTTTAGTTTAGTTAGACACAATCGCACACTAATCAAGCATTGCAACGAGGGAACTCCCTCAGCTTCCATGCCCATTGTTCAAGAGTCACTTATACCGTATGGTATAATAAGTGCGTATGGGCGAGGTATACATACGGACAGCGGGCTTCGCTTTGCGTTTTCTGAGTTTTGGTAATGGTGTTTGTTGTTGGTGGACAATGATGGCGGTGAGGTGGTGCTTTAGGACCCTTTTCAGAAGGAGACAGAGTACCAGACCCCCCTAGAGTCTGCTATTGCGGGGCGTTTGGCGGAATTGAACATCGAAGCCGAGCTTCAGGGCTGGCAGGGAACTTTGGTGCCTGTAAATAGGGAGGTATTGGAGGAGGAGAAGGCTTATACGAATCTCCTCGGGCTTGTCCCAGAAGAAAAATGGGACACCTGATCGTTGAGATAGTGAGACATTCTTCATTCTAAAAACATCGTGCTGCTCAACGCAAAGTGAGGAATTGGAATGGTCGTTTCCTTCTACACATCCCCAAGTGGACGGGTGTGCTTGCTGCATCGGAGCTAAGACCAGGCACTTTAATCTCTGGGCGAGAGCACGTGACTTCGCGACGCACTCTAAGAGACTCCGCGATTTTCGTGTTTTAGAGAGTCCTAGTCCCAACGTCATTACTTTTTGACCACTTCACCCCTTGTCCAGACTTCGCCTCCCAACTCGTGCAGCACAATGCGAGTATAGATGGCGGTCTCGACAGAACTTACAATAACAGAACTTTGGACAATTCGGATTTCTGGAGAAGAGTACCCTTTCCTTGGACACGTGTGGCAAAATGGGCCCTCCATCATCGGCAGCGCGAAAGCGGCCTACGACCACTCCAAAAAAACCGTTGACCAGGTTGCCTCCTTCGAAAAAGCCTGCAGGAAAGCCCAACGCTAGCATTCTCAGCTTCTTTCAAAAGGCCGAAAAGCCTGAGCAGACGCTGTTCATTGATGGCCACGAAACGCTCGTTGTTCCCCAAAAGGAAGATGATGAGGTGCCAGAGATTTACGACGCCGATCCATTGGAGGAGGAGGAGAGGTTCAATGAAGTTGAGGCGCCAAACAAAAAGCGGCGGCTAAGTCAAGAGGCTGAGAATCACGAAGGGGAACAATCAGCCGCAAGAGATTCTAACAGCCCGGTGGTGTCCGAACCACCGCCTTCATCACCAACAGAGAAGCCTTCTAGGAAGGCGTCGGCTAAGCGGAAAGGCCCTTTTCTCGACGAGTCCGACAGTGAAGAAGAAGAGGATTCGACAGCTCCAGCAAGGAAATCAAGTCTCATCGGCGCTATTCGCAATCGACCGCCCGTCATGCCACCGGTTAAGGCGGAGGATGACGCGATGTCTCTCGCAACGAAGCAAGACAATGTAGCTACGCTGGTTCAATTAAAAGAGGAAGAAGAGGAGGAGGCACAACCGCCAGCGAAAGAAACGAGCTGCCCGCCACCGCCATTGAAGGTTGAGGACTCGATCGACGCCGAATTTGCAAATGTTGACGACTTTGGTGACCTAGACGATTTCCCCAATGACGAAGATTTTGGCGGCGAAGAGTACCGCATGATGCAGTTCATGGAGGAGCAAGACCGTTTGGAAGCAGAAGCCGAGGCTGCAGATACGGGTGACTATTCTTGTGACGAATTAGCCGATCCCGTACGGCCGAGCGATGCCATGGTGGCCAACTGTCCCATTTGCGACGGTACACTTGCCGGTATTACACTTGACGAAGCAACACGACATGTAAACGCTTGCCTCGACGGCAACCCAATTCCACTCCCTCAGCCCAAAGAGACCAAGAACATCAAGAACGAAGTCGCAAGACCGCCAATACTCGATCCTCCCGAAGTCAACAAGCGACTCGCGCGCGCAGCAGTACCACGAGAGGGCCAGGCGAATCCGTTCAAGCTTGGCGAGGTTCAGACCAGGTCGACTTCAGCCTTCACCAAGTTGATGTCAGGCCATGCTGAAGACGCTGCGTGGGCCGGTGCCGCTGCTGCAGAGCACTCATCGCGTGGGAAGCCCGCGTATCAACGGACCTGTCCCTTCTACAAGATTATGCCCGGTTTCTACATCTGCGTAGATGCCTTCAGGTACGGTGCAGTGAAGAGATGCAATGCCTACTTCTTGAGCCATTTTCACAGCGATCACTACATTGGCTTGACTTCCACCTGGACGCACGGCCCGATATATTGCAGCAAAGTCACCGGAGACCTGGTCAAGATGCAATTGCGAGTTGCTGCCAAGTGGGTTGTTGCTCTGGAGTTCAATCAGACGGAGGAGGTCCCGGGCACTGAGGGTGTGACGGTGACTATGATCCCTGCTAACCACTGCCCCGGCAGCTCCCTGTTTCTGTTCGAGAAGACAATGGGAAAGGGGCCAAATGCAAGAAAGCAGAGAATTCTGCATTGCGGCGACTTCAGAGCCTGTCCAGCTCAGGTCGCCCATCCTCTACTCAAGCCCGACATACAAGATTCGACATCAGGCAAACTCAAGCAGCAAAAGATTGATGTCTGTTATCTGGATACCACCTACCTCAACCCCCGCTATTCTTTCCCGCCTCAGAACGATGTGATTAAGGCATGCGCAGACATGTGTAAGTCACTTGCGCCTGACCAGACGTCGGAGGATAACACTTGGGACAAGATCAACAGAGAGGCTGGCACGGAGACGGTCAGCAAATTCTTCACGAAGACAAATGCGGACGACGCCGCTGCAAAGGCGAAGAAGAAAAACGCACCAAAGGAACGTCTCCTTGTCATTTGCGGTACTTACTCGATTGGCAAGGAGCGTATTTGCAAAGCTATTGCACAAGCTCTAGGAAGCAAGATATTTGCGTCCAAGTCGAAGATCCGCATCGTGTCCAAACTCGGAGATCCGGAGCTGACGGCACTTATGACGGATAATCCACACGAAGCTCAGGTTCACATGCAAATGCTGATGGAAATCCGAGCCGAGACACTACAAGAGTACCTCAATGGGTACAAGCCGCATTTCAGCCGTATCGTAGGGTTTCGTCCTTCCGGCTGGAACTATCGTCCACAAGGTGCCAGCAAGGCGGTGACGGCTAGCACTCAACCTGGCACGATCCCAATGACACAAATTCTTCAAGGCAAGGCTTGGCGGCCACGGTTTGGGGCAAAGGACTTCGTTGCGCAACGTGGCAGCACGAAAGAAGCCATGTGCTTTGGAGTGCCATACAGCGAGCATAGCAGTTTCCGGGAGCTGACCATGTTCGTGATGTCCTTGCGCATCGATAAGGTAGTACCAACCGTCAATATCGGCAGCGAAGTATCGAGGAAGAGGATGAAGGGCTGGATCGACAAATGGCTGTCTGAGAGGAGGAAGGGCGGACTCGTCCATCCTCTAGAGGGTGAAGAGGGCGAGGGTAAAGAAGTTGCATTGTGGAACGGCAAAGACAGTCGTGGAGGAGGCGTCTGGTGGTGATTGCTTGTTCCGTCAGAATAGCATAATGACTAATGAATACCATGTGGTCGGGCACAAGTCCCGTTGAACATTTGATTTGTTTCGTAGATCTCTGTCTGGATATCATATCCCCTCTATTCATTTTCCGCAGTGCACTACCCTCTCAAGTCTTGCCATACGCCAAGAAAATCGTTGACCACGTGTACCTAGTCGTGAGGTTGTGGTCTTCATTCAACCCCAAGCGTGGACCGGCTTTTTCAGTGCCCCGGCCATATCGTTATGATTCTCACACGCCATCCTGAACCCCTACGACCCTTGAACTCATAGCCTATTTCGCCTTTGCGGCCTGGGCAGCAGCCTCTGTGATGACGTTAACGGTGTCCCTCTACCTGTGATGATGTGATGAAAACGCAAGACTCACCTCTGCGCGTCGCGTCCTCCAGCAGGGGCACGTCTACTGAGCCAGCGGGCAAGTGAACATAACGAACAACGGAGCCACGGATGAAGACATTCTTGACAGAGCTCTGCACAGTTTCGTTAGCGACATTCTCGGGGCTGGCTCTCTGGCCGAACAAGGGTGCATGAGGGCCTAGGTGCAAGGGGGAGACTGACGAGGTGCGGGTACTTCAGCTCCTCGACGACAGAGATTTCTTCCAGCTTGATGTTGAGGTACTGATCGACGCTCTTGAGGATGCCGCGGATCTGAATGTCGTTCTTGAGCTCGACGGTGACCTCGTGGTCGATGAGCGTCTTGAAGAAACTAGTGGCGTAAGGTCAGTGACTGCATCACCTACCGCGCGCGGGGCACAGCTCGGGGCTTGAAAGCGAGTGTGATATCGCCTTCACCGAGTGAGTTTCGAGACTTACCTGAAGAAAAGCATGGTGGGCGGTTGAACTGGATGCTGGGGTGTGGTGAGCCGCTCAGTAGGATCGTGATGCTCTTGATTGAGTGCGAAGAGGTGTGGGGGCTTGCGTACTGTGTTTGAAGACAGTGTGTACGGTCGTCTTTATCCCAGAGTTCATCATGGGCTGCACTGTGATGTGGCTTAACGCTTGTGGCTGATGGCTTCCACTAGGACCAGTGCATAGGTGGCGACGGACCACTGAATCGGCCAGTCTGTTCAGGGGAAGAACTCGGAAAGTGATCAGCCTCGGCGGCGACTTTTATTCAACTTCATGTAACTCGCCCACCTTCGTACCGAATAGTCTGGCCTTCTCTTCTCTCTTTAGTCGAAGCCTTGGTATTTTACAGAGACAATTTCATTCGTTTAAGTCACCCATCGAAAAATTTGGTCTCTAAGTACAACAAGTTATGTCTTTAGCCAGGGTGACTGAATGGCGGAAACTGCCGCTCAGTTTGGCTGAGCTGTGCATCGACACGACTCTTCGATGTGGCCAATCTTTTCGATGGCGGAAATTCAATGATATGTGGTCAGTTGCATTGAGATCTATGTACAACGATTCAAGTTCACTGAGGATTTGACCAGGTGCTGCACGTTGTATGGTCGAATCGTGTCATTAAAGCAAGATTCAACTCACTTGCATTATAAGGTCACTTGGCCTACGAAACCAACTTATCCGCTCACCCCTCCAACTTTTGACGGCGAAGCTAGTGGAGACGACACAGAGGATTTACTACGGCATTATCTGAGCCTCAAGTTGGACCTAAAGTCACTGTATGAGGAATGGTCGAAAGCAGATGCCAACTTTCGCAAGAGGGCGCCAGAGTTTGGAGGTGTTCGCATGCTGAGCCAAGACGCATGGGAGGCTTTGATTTGTTTCATCTGCAGTAGTAACAACAATATCTCCAGGATATCACAGATGGTAAGAACTGTCGCAAAGTGGAAAAGAAACACAGCACTTACAGTTGACTAGGTTCACAAGCTGTGTCTACACTACGGTCCGCTCATTGGCAAGATTGGGGACGAAACGTTTCATGATTTCCCAACGCCCGAGGCTTTAACGGGAAGCTCAGTAGAGGCACACTTGAGGGAACTCGGGTTTGGCTATCGCGCCAAGTACATTGCGCAGACAGCCTCGATTGTGGTCAACGACAGGCCAAAGGGATGGTTCGAGAGCCTCACCAACCCAGAGAACCCATGCTACATCAAGACGGCCGAGGGGTCCAAGCTGCCCCAGTGCACATACAAAGAGGCACACGAACAGCTGCTTCAACTATCGGGCGTGGGGCCCAAGGTGGCCGACTGCGTCTGCCTGATGGGCCTGGGTTGGGGTGAGGCCGTGCCGGTGGACACTCATGTTTGGCAGATTGCTCAGCGAGACTACAAGTTCGGCAAGACCAAGACCAAGACGTTCAACAAGGCGATGTACGATGCCGTGGGAGACCATTTTAGGGAGCTCTGGGGCAAGTATGCAGGCTGGGCGCACTCTGTGCTTTTTACGGCAGACCTCAGGACATTTTCTGAGCGGACGGTGAAGAAGGAAGAAGACCAGACGGTGACAGTGAAGAAGGAGGTAACCGTCGATGAAGAGGCGCCAAATTTGGGACAGAAGCGCAAGGTTGTGAAAACGAAGGTCAAGGTTGAGGTTGACCATGAAGCGCCCGACACTGCCCTGCTGGAAACATCGCCAAAGCGGAGGAGAACACGATCGCAGGCTCGAAAGACGAGCTGATATCTCTAGTAATACAACCTCGTCACGCACGAAATGAGCACATCTTGTCAAGGGGCTGTCTGCACCCGGCTTCTCATTCTTGGGAGAGAAAGCCTTGCAGCTTTAGTATATCGGCATATATAGGCAGAACCAGTCAAAACTGTAAGATTGTGTCCCTCCTCTAATCTAATGTAAGTGAAAGCCAGAGGAAAACAAGATTTACGCCGCTTTCTTTGTTGATCATCGGTCGCGGATGCTCCGAGGTTGAGGTGCAGAAGCTCCCAGCCTTGGCGTTCTCGGCTAAAGTTCGGGCGCCCAAATTCTGGTGGCGTCGCCGACAGCAAAGCTTTTGCCTGCGCAGATTGCAAACTCTCCTGCGACCCGGCCATTTGCTACCCCCTTCAGCCTCATCAGCAACACAACAACCATTACTGATGCGCGCCGCCATCGTCGATCGCCCACTTGCATCTTCAAGTGACATGAAGCAACCTTGCCCATAATTCAAAATGTCCGACGCAGACTTCGAGACTGTCCGAAAGCTCCAGGCGGAGCGCAACGCTGCCGCCGCTGCGAAGAAGGGTTCGACCACTTTCGACCCGAACAATCAACGTGCCGACGCCGGCACCAAGCAGAAACTCACCGATAGCTTCGACAACGATCTGTACGATCGAAATGGCGTCGACAAGTTTGCCGGATACAACACGTCCATCCCGGCCGGCGATGACGATGACGACGAGATGGAAGGTACCGACGACACGCGCCGTCTCGTTGGCCAGTACACGGCATCGCGTGAAATGATTGACGAGTTTGCACGCGGCGATGGCGTCGAAGAGGATGACCCCTTGACTGGCCGAGGCGAGAAGAGCGACAGGATTACCGATCGCGAGACAGACTACCAAAAGCGCCGATTCGATCGCGGCCTCTCCCCTTCCCGAACCGACGCCTTTGCCAACGGAGACAACAAGAACGGCGATAGCTACCGCGAGATCATGCAGCGGAGAGAGCTTGAGAGAGAGGAGGAACGCGTCGCAAGGGAAATCCAGGCCAAGACTGCGAAGGGTCCCGAAGAAGACGGCAACGTCGCCCCGGCGACTCTGAGGGACGACGATAAGGAAAACGCGGAAGCTGGCTCTACCGATGCTGTCTCTGCTGGGAGGAAGCGCAAGAAGAGGTGGGATGTCGCGACCACGACAGCTGACGAGGAAGCTGCTCAGCCTTCTGAGCCCGCCAAGTCGAAGCGCTCGCGTTGGGATCAGGCCCCTTCTCTGGACTCCGCAGAACCAAAGAAACGGTCGAGATGGGATCAGGCCCCTTCGGCTACTCCAATGGGCAACCAGGGTCTCGCCACACCAATGCACCCGTCGCAAGCGGGAAGCGCAGCGTTGCCTACGACTTTCGGGACGGACATCTCAGGACGCAACGCGGCCATCAGTGACGAAGAGTTGGACGCGCTTCTTCCGGGCGAAGACCAGGGATACAAGATTCTCGAGCCACCGCCAGGATACGCTCCGATTCGCGCGCCTGCTCACAAGCTCATGGCAACACCAGCACCGCAAACTGGTTTCATGATGCAGGATCCTGACGCCGTTAGGTTGAGCGGAAAGCCTGTGCCGGCAGAAATCCCAGGCATTGGCGACCTGCAGTTCTTCAAGGCCGAGGACATGGCATACTTCGGTAAGCTGACCGACGGCTCTGACGAGAACAGCTTGAGCGTGGACGAGATGAAGGAGAGGAAGATCATGAGACTGCTCTTGAAAGTCAAGAATGGTACTCCTCCAATGCGTAAAACTGCTCTGAGACAGCTCACCGACAATGCCAGGCAGTTTGGAGCCGGTCCGCTCTTCGACCAGATTCTTCCCCTGCTCATGGAGAAGACTTTGGAAGACCAGGAGCGTCACTTGCTCGTCAAGGTTATCGACCGTATTCTCTACAAGCTGGATGATTTGGTGCGGCCATATGTTCACAAGATCTTGGTCGTTATCGAGCCGCTGCTCATCGACCAAGATTACTACGCCAGAGTCGAAGGTCGTGAGATCATTTCCAACCTCAGTAAAGCGGCTGGTTTGGCCACCATGATCAGCACAATGAGACCAGATATCGACCACGTCGACGAGTACGTGCGAAACACCACCGCAAGAGCATTCGCCGTGGTAGCATCTGCTCTTGGTATTCCGGCCCTGCTACCTTTCCTTCGCGCAGTGTGTCGCAGCAAGAAGTCATGGCAGGCCCGTCATACCGGAGTCAAGATTGTGCAGCAAATCCCTATCCTAATGGGCTGCGCCGTCCTACCGCACCTCAAGGGCTTGGTCGACTGCATCGGTCCCAACCTGAACGATGAGCAAACGAAGGTCAGGACAGTCACCAGTTTGGCTATTGCTGCGCTTGCCGAAGCTTCGAACCCCTACGGTATTGAGAGCTTCGACGATATTCTCAACCCGCTATGGACAGGAGCTCGCAAACAGAGAGGCAAAGGTCTGGCTGGTTTCCTCAAGGCTGTCGGCTTCATCATTCCGTTGATGGACGAGGAATATGCCAACTACTACACCAGTCAGATCATGGAGATTCTCCTTCGCGAGTTTTCCTCTCCCGACGAGGAGATGAAGAAGGTTGTCCTGAAGGTTGTCTCTCAGTGCGCTGGTACTGATGGTGTCACCGCAGGCTACCTCAAGGAGCATGTGTTGGACGAGTTCTTCAAGAGCTTCTGGGTGAGAAGAATGGCTTTGGACAAGCGCAACTACAGACAGGTTGTGGAGACTACTGTCGACATTGGCCAGAAGGTCGGCGTCAGCGAGATTCTGGAAAGAATCGTAGTGAACCTCAAGGATGAGAGTGAGGCCTACAGGAAGATGACCGTCGAGACGGTGGAGAAGATCGTCGCTAGTTTGGGCGCAGCAGACATTGGCGAGCGTCTCGAGGAGCGTTTGATCGATGGTATTCTACACTCGTTCCAGGAACAAAGTGTGGAAGACATTGTCATGCTCAACGGTTTCGGCTCCGTCGTCAACGCCCTTGGATCGCGCTGCAAGCCATACCTGCCCCAGATCGTCAGTACCATCCTCTGGCGGTTGAACAACAAGTCAGCAACGGTACGGCAGCAAGCAGCCGACCTCATCTCACGCATCGCCATGGTCATGAAGCAATGCGGAGAGGATGCCTTGATGGGCAAGCTGGGTATCGTTCTCTACGAATATCTAGGTGAGGAGTACCCCGAGGTACTGGGCTCCATCCTGGGAGCCTTGAGATCGATCGTCACGGTTGTTGGTATTACACAGATGCAGCCCCCTATCAAGGACTTATTGCCAAGACTCACCCCTATTCTGCGCAACCGACACGAGAAGGTCCAAGAAAACACCATTGACCTGGTCGGTCGTATTGCCGACCGCGGCCCCGAGAGTGTGAACGCCCGCGAGTGGATGCGTATCTGCTTCGAGCTCCTTGACATGCTGAAGGCACACAAGAAGGGCATCCGTCGTGCCGCCAACAACACATTCGGTTTCATCGCCAAGGCCATCGGTCCCCAGGATGTGCTCGCCACGCTGCTGAACAACCTTCGCGTGCAGGAGCGTCAGTCTCGTGTCAACACAGCTGTTGCCATTGGTATCGTTGCCGAGACTTGCGCGCCCTTCACCGTTCTTCCCGCCCTTATGAACGAGTACCGCGTTCCCGAGCTCAACGTGCAAAACGGTGTGCTCAAGTCCCTCTCTTTCCTGTTCGAGTACATTGGTGAGATGGCCAAGGACTACGTCTATGCCGTCACTCCTCTGCTCGAGGACGCCCTCATCGACCGCGACCAAGTACATCGACAGACGGCCGCATCTGTCGTCAAGCATATCGCGCTTGGCGTTGTCGGCCTGGGATGTGAGGACGCAATGGTTCATCTCCTCAACCTCCTATATCCCAACCTCTTCGAAACGAGTCCACACGTCATTGACCGTATCATCGAGGCCATCGAGGCCATCCGCATGGCGGTTGGCCCCGGCATTGTTCTCAACTATGTATGGGCAGGCCTGTTCCACCCTGCGCGCAAGGTACGCCAGCCTTACTGGCGGCTGTACAACGACGCGTACGTCCAGGGTGCCGATGCCATGGTACCATACTATCCCAACCTGGACGAGGAAAAGGTTGACAGGTCGGAGCTTGCAATCATGCTCTAAGTTTAGGAAGAATACGGGAAGGGCAAGCGGGGAATAAGGTTCAACGGGTTTTCAGGGCTGGTTTTGTTTTCCTTCCACGATATCCAAGAAGGGATGTGTTCTTTTTTTTTTCTCCCAGGGTCCGCACAGGCTCTAGGGGAGCGTGTTCCGAGAGCGAGCCAGCGGGCGGGCCGCGGGGACGAGGCTCTGATCCGGGCTTTGGGGTGAAGAAGGAAGAGAAGAGCAAGAGACTTGCCAAGTTGTAGCGCGCGTTCGACGGGCGCAGGGTAGGCAGCCATTGTACTTGAGTCATAATACTCGCATCGTGTAGACTTTTTTTTTATTCTTCCTCATGTAGTGGAGTATTCAGAGCAGCCAAAAAACAAATCAGCGGCGTTATTTGATCTTAATGGGCAGAATTAAAATTCCACGATGCAAAGCTCCATTTTGGTATTGTTGTTGAGAACTTGAGAGAATAGGAAGGGTTCTTCCCCCAAAGTCCCTACTTTTCTCTCTCTTTCTACTCGCTCTTCATCTCGCTGTGCCCGCAGAACCAACCCCCCCGGATGACCCTGAACTGGAGAAATGTGCTCGTCCGTTCGCTGTAATATGACTCGGGGCTTCCGGCCGGCGGGGCGGGAAATGGGGGCGGGCTTTGTATTTCTTTTCGAACGGCTGTCTCCGTGAAGCTTTCCACGTCTCACGGGTTATCGGCGGACGGGTATCCATGTTCTCACTCTACGAGAGAACTTTGCGGCCATATGTAAGGTACGGGATAGAATAGGGTAACAGTAGGCGGCAAACTACCTCTACCTCTGGCTACCTTGCCTTAGAGTTTTGATTTCTCGGCAACTGCAGCAAGACCACATACTCCGTACGAAGTACTCCGTAGTATGATGGTAGAGTACCACCCCGGCCGGCTGGGGCCAACGGGGGGGCAGAGAGTTTGTACGCGGAGGGTGAAGACAAGTTTACTATCCCATCCGTGTGTAAGGTATCCATATGGCATGGTTATGGTCCGGCTATGGTAAACCGTATGTTTTGACCGCCCGTGTTCAGTGTGTCTTTCTTTGACAAGACGTGGTGTGTTGACGATGTCTACCTATCCCGTACCCTATTCACTTCCCTTCAACTCTCCTCTCGAAATGAAAGTGTGTCAAACCCCCTAGTCTCAGCACGCCGGCAGCGGGAGTCAAAAAGAGTAGAGGAAGCAAGTGCCAACAGCCAAGGTATCCATCCGTAGGTAAGTACTTAGTTAGTATCCGTACTCTATGTTCAGATTTCAGGAAACGGGCGCAAAGCACAACGCAAGGACCAACATCCAACGTTCACACCCACTCAACTTCACCAAACTCACCCCAATCCCCGGCTCGCCGGTATTGCGGGGCGAGAAAGAAGCTTGCGTGCCTGCCGCTTCAGAAGGTGGGAAGGGGAGAGGAGGGGGGGAGAAGCTTGAAAGCTTGATACACGATTCAGCCTCGTCCCGCCTAGCTACAATATGTATAGAGTACAGAGTACGGAGCACACATAGGAGAGAGAAAAGGGAACCACATTTACACACAAAAAAAATCAACAAATCTCCAAAATGCGTGGTCTTCACAGGTCATCTGGTGTATAGCGGTGGAGCGAAAGGGGGCGTGCTCTAGGATTGTGTATAAGTCACGTTTGATACAACACTTTTGGTGTCTAGTCATGTTTGCACTGAAGTGAAATATCGGGAAATCCGCCTCATCCCCGCTTTCTCGTCCCGCGACCGCGGGAGTGGGAAGAGAGAAAGAGAGAAGAAAAGAGATTGATGTCGGGGAAAAGGGACACAATCATTCAGAGAGGAGGGAATATGACTCTGAAATACGTCTCCCGGGATAGACCTCCGTGAGCCCACGGGGATTTTTGGGGTGAGAACGACATTGTGATTCTTTTCGGCCCCGGCGCGCGATTCAAGAAACCAGTCAGCCTCGGGCCCTCGGCCGCCCTGCATCTTCAAACGCGTTGTATATAGCACAAATGTATTAACACAACAACTCTCTTAAACTGGGGAAACTTCTCCAGTCCCATTGAAAAGGTCTGAACTCTGAATCCATCATCCCCGATTCCCCCAATGTCCAGCCTGACCCAAGCAGGAAACCATGAAAAAATAGAACCGTGTCCTATTGTGCATCTCATCCAAGGATAGTCCCCGATTAAACGGGTTACCAAAAGGTGAAGAGGATTCGCAAACGCCGATTCATCTGCCTTCCACTTCCGCCCAGCAAATGGGTTTCGATGGATGGCCTTGCTACCATCAGGCACAGCTCACGTGTTCCTTATCGTGTCGGCGCATGGTTAAAAATAAGCATCCCACATATTGGTCGAAAGGAAGAGAAAGAAAAAAGTGTTACAGACATGATCCTTTCTCATCTCCGTACGGGGGAGAGCTTGGCTCCGAGCCACAGGAACAACCGGGCGGGATACCTTGTTCGGTCAAGGGGAAAAAACTCAAGCTTCCGCCCACGTAAAAAAAAGAGGGAAATTCCCTGTCGCTCTAACGTCAGTATCGCCAGTCAAGTGTCGTCGTCGTTGGCAGTCGTCGTCTGTCATTGTCGTCGATGCCGCGATCAGCGGTACCACCGTACCTATCTTGTGGGTCAGGGGGCAGCATATCGCCGTCCCCTTCTCCCCCTCTTTTGTGTTGTTTGAGATGTCGACGGAATGCAACTCACTCAGGGGCAGGGCTGGTTTGGTTGGTCGGTTGGCACGCTCGGCTGGCGGTGGGCTGGTAGGCTGCGGGTTGCGCTCCTGATGTTGCTATCGGTACCACGCTGCCCTTCTTTAGTTTGTTGTTCTTGTTTTCCCTCCCCTCTCTGTATGGTACAGTTCCCGTGGGGAATGAAAATCCCTCCTGTCGAAAAATGCGAGATTCAGGTGAGCCAACACGGGTAGATTGTCGAAGGTTGTAGTGTAAAATATGGAGGGAAACGGGATCAAGGTCTCGTTTCAAGTGCAAAGAGCCTCAATTCCTGGGTTCGTCAGTTCATCAACTTCATCGCAAACGGCTCACTGCGTACATACACAAGAAGGTCGGCAGGCTTGGTGGCGCTGCGACCGCAAGAGGCGATATCGGAAAGTGAAATACGGTCTTGGTCTCTGCCGTGGGCTTGCTCGGCTATGCCAACCTCCGAAGGTGCCCACAACGCGCAAGGTATCCATCCGTACAAGCGAGCGGCTTTCCAGAATCCTGAGACATTCCGTTGTTTTCGTCCAGCGGTTTGCGGACATCCGCGCCGTTTCACACTCGGCTCACTACCAAATGGCGCCCCCATCTTTGCTTCCTTTTTCTCCAGACCACATCTACGTCTGTTCTCAAGCCTCGCTGGCAAAGGAAACGGTCGCGACGGCGTCAGCATCGCCTCTCTGCGCAAAGGGACACTGCGGGGGATCTGCACACCTGCGTCGACTGGGAAAAGAGAGTTGAGGCTAGCCGGCGATAGTTTGGGCTGACTTGAGGCGTTCCTAGAATGATCGCCCTACCACAGTGCTTGGACCAGCTACTCCAGTCCCCTATATTGATGTTCCTCTCAAGCAACGATCGACATTTTTACCCCGGGGAATTTATAAAGTCCCGCGGCGCCGTCTTCATCTCTAAATAACGTGGATGACGACCAAGACGAATACAGTAAGCACTGTTTCGGTGAATTCGGCCAAATTCACTGGCAGGACAGGGACTCTTTGTAAGGGGAATTGGCGAATCTTTAGGCGGGCATGGCGGGCCTCTCTGCTGATAGATATGTTCGAGACAGCCACAGCGGAAAGCCGATGAGACTCGAAATTCCCTAGACAATCTTGCCTCATTTACATGCCGCCTCCATCAAACCACTGGACGAAGGGGATGGAAGGCAAGGCGTGTTTAAGGCATATGGCACGTAGTCGACCGGGCCACTGCGCCATGTCTCATCTGAGCAGAAAAGAATCGTCACAGGCGTAGGTAGTGAGGTCGCAGGGCCGATGCGCCGTTGTGGTTCACAGGGCGTGCGGTATTCAATATCCGAGAATGGGTACTCCGTATGCTCACAAGCAATAGGATGGTTTCGAACGTGTTCTGGCAGCACAGAGGAAGGAATCGGCAGCTGGTGTTTCGTTCCTGGATCACATCGGTAACGTCCTCGTGTCGTCCCAAGTGCGAGATCTCCATGATCGTCATTGATCATCGTTGTCATCGTGCTGTCGTCCTTTCTCCCACGAGGATTCAACATCTCCCGCGCGAAGCCGACGACCCGAAAGCTTCTCCAGACGCTCCATCCCGTTTTGTCTAGCAAGCCGCAATACGCAGGCAAGCCTCCAGTGTGCTCCGTCCGAATTCGTTGGAGGCACTGGCGGATTTACCGCGGGGATTGCTGATTAGTGCACTTGCAACTGCTCAGCAGGCGCTTCTGGGAACAGAGTTTGCACCAGAGGCGCAGGGCTACGCAAGGTGCAGGTTGGCGTCTTGGAGTACTTTGGTCAACGCATTCCACTAGCAAACGGTTTGGCGCCGGGGGACGTTCGGAACCACGAAGTAGTGTAAGTTTTTGCAAGCTTGCAACTTGCAGGGAAGATGACGGAACAGCTGTGCCGTCCCCATGAGTGAGCGAGTAAGTCAAGCTTGGCAGGCCGTGACTGTTGAGTGGCGTTGAGAACGACTTGAGCAGCTCCTAGCAACTATTCACACCCATGGTCCATGGTCTATGGAGGTAGATAGCGATGACGAAGAGGGGTGGCAGGAGGCTGTGAGGTCCAAGTTCCTGTTGAAATCCGTATCTGAAGTATCTGTAAGGGAGGGTGATTGCGGACAAGGAGGGTATGGAGGGAGAGCCGTTGGCGTGGGAATTGCGCGTCGTTGTATCGGCAAGGCCATGTCCGAATCAATTGGCGTCTGCAAAGCCTCATGCTCAAGGACCGACCCGGAGAACGGTGTGAGGTACGGAGAGGTAGGTAGGTAGCAAGCCGCAACAGCTGTGTGAGATCACGCAGGTGGCGGGGCTGAATGCACAGTCGGATGTAAATGCAATGGGAACGCAAATGTAAATGCGGGAAAGCGTTTCGGGTGAATTGTCCTGAATGACAGACGAAAAGATGTTGCGGGGATGATCTGAATTGCTGGGACGAAACAACAACTCCGGGGAAAGAAAAGCTAATAAACTCGGTGTACACACGCGGGGGCAAGTGCACACCTGTTCGGCATTCATCGTGCCTTACTCCGTACAAAAGGTCTTGTATGGTACGTTCAGAAGGGGGGTATCTGTGCCTTAATTACTTGGTACGTGAAAATGACCAAAGTATCCCTACTCCGTACTCCGTACTCCGTGTGCACACATCAGACGGAAGGTGGAATCGTGGGAGGGAAGGGTAGGCAAGAAGCAAGATAGCTTGGTAAGTTAATTAATTGGGAAAAAGGGAAAGATCGCAAGGCGACCTCTTGCTGTTTCGGAATAAGAGGTAGGCGAAAGTAGGCCTCGCAAGGGGCGTTTACGTCATTGAGTGTTTCGAAACACATCCCACGATGCCCCTTCCACGCTTGGTTTCCCCCATGTTTGGGGGCGTGAAGATGCGGCAAGCACAGCCAGCCCTACCGAGTACCGACCACGCCTATGACCTGCCTCGACGTTGGATGTGCAACGCCAAAAGATGTCAGATGTCTGGTGCGAAGGAAAGAAGACGTGTTCCGTTCTTTACCTACCTCAAGAGGATGCTGGCTCAATGGGAAGGAAGCAATTGAAGCAATGGAACCACGGGGACGAGTTCGACGCCGGCCGCCTGGGTGGGAGCCGCACCTTCCTATCTCTCTTCCTACCTTAGGTAATTCGGTAGATACCATCTTGACAACATCCGTCCGATGTTGAAAACACTGACCTCATGTCATCCAACCTCGCCACTAGACAAAGAGAAAAAACACATTTACCTTTTTCAACATCAGTGTCTATTACCAGGTCAATCCATCCCCTCGTCCCTTGGCGCGAGTCGACCACATTGGACCAACATTTCACGGATTGGCATGTCAACAATACCCTAGCCTTTCGAGGTTCCGTCCACACCAACACCGACAATGACATCCGCAAGCTCACCTTGATATCCATTGCCGATGCTATTCAGCGCTGACTTCACTTTCTTGTTCCTTTCCAAGGTCCCCCGTCCGCAGCTTTGACCAAGGTGGACATTTCCTTTCCAAACCATCCCCTTTCTCGGCACTAGTCAGTCCACATCGCCTCGACCTCAGTATGACGCCGCCGTCAAGTAGCTCCGTGCTATTCTGCTCTCGTCCTGACCGGTTCGCACCGTTGCTCGCATGTTGGCACAAGGCTTGCCGGCTCCAACAATCCCGCCATTAGAAGATGCAGCCACCTGCTCGCCGCGCTGCCTCTTTGGCCTCTGCCGTGGCAGTTGGCTTTGGCCTTTCCTTCTCCTCCTACGATTCTGCCACCTCGATGTTATTACACTGGAGCTACGGGATCAACACGAACATTCCGATGCTGCTAGGGAGGAGACGTTCGTCCCGTCTCGGTAGGCGTCGCTCAGGGCGTCCGGCTGTCAGCCACATGTTGTCTGCAACAGGATACGCGCGTCACCCATCATTCGCTCCACCATCTCCAGAAAACTCACATAACACACAACCGAACTTCCGACGTTGACTAACAACACGTCTGAAGGCTTCTTGGTTTTGCGTCTCCCCCCCTTTAACAGGAACGAATCACGGATAACATACCGCCGAACACGAGAGAGACATGACAGGATGGGACAGGATCAGTTGCTCCATCCCTCCCCGACCTTCCACAGCTATTTCGAGCTGGCACCCAACACTCAAAAACCTACATGACATACGGATAGACCGTGAAGGAGTATCAGTAGTTCTGAGGCTCCATCTCGCATCCCAGACACGCTCGCTCTCAGACAGATACCGCTTCGCATCGGCAAAATGGCTGCTCCATTATTCTCAATGCAACCGCACACCCGCAAAATGCGAGGACAGGAAATTTCGACTGAGAGAAACCATGTGCCAACCCACCGCAGGCCATCTATCTGGCGACGACGCTCTGATGGACCCACAGAGAAATTCAAATCAATGCCTGTCCACAGGGTTGTCGAATTGCATGGCCTCGAGCTGCGAGCAGCAACACCAACAGCACCTCAATTCTCAATAGCAACAGCGGTGTCTGTACGGATATGCAAGGCCTCCCTCCCCCCACAGGCATGTATCTGTAGTGTAGCTGCTCGCAAGACTCGCCTAGCCGCTAAAATCTTCAGCCATGGCTTCACTGCCGTCCCTGTCCCTTCACAATCCAGTCTTGGAGGACAAGAGAAATCGACCAAGCGGCCAACGGCCAGTGCGTATCCCGTCATGTTCTATTATCGTTTCTCACCACTGGCGCGCCTCACGGCTCTTCCTCGCTCTGATTAAGCCTTCTCGATCACCTCTAGGAGCCCAGAGACAAGAGTCAACACGATGGTACTCTGCGCTTCAGGCACCCCAGGCACAGGACCTTGACAAAGTGAGGCTGGCACGGCTGGGCCGTCTGCAAGACAACAGAAAACGGTCATGATCGACACTCCCCGCTGTGGGCTGCAGAAGAGCCAGGATGATACAGCACGCTACTATCTGTTCCGGCGTAGCGTCTCCATACAGTTCAATGCCAAGGGAGCTGTCTGGAGTCTCTCTGGATTGCTTGATTGCCTTGGAGAGACAAGAAGACCCGCCTTTGGGGAATCCATGTCGATTCTGAGACATTCCCTGGTCAGTTCAATCAGCAAGGGGCAGCTGGATGGCTTTGCCCTCCCGTCTCCTCCGCTCTCGCTCGCAGTGCACGCTCACACTGCAGCCAACGCTCACTCCTTTAGACGCACTCCTTTCATAACAACTATCGCCAAGGGTGCTTTTGATGAGTTTCTCGTACTCAGTTGCCGCGATGTGCCTGCACTGCCATCCATTATCGTCGAATCCCACCTGGCCCTACACTAGGCAACCCTATTCAACCCCGTCCTCGACATTGCATTTTTTCCCTCTCGAACTTTAATCCACCACCAACGTTGCACCCGAGGCGCTGTGGGTCGGGTCCTCACTATTGACCATCACCGACTTTGGCAGGTTGCAAACATCCACTCTGATTCCGCACAAGCCCGGCCGCCCGCCAGCCCGCTCATCCGCTTGGACGGTAATATGACAGATTGCCTACAGATTCCAGCTGACAGAGAATGTTTCCTTCAATGCGACCCTGTCATTGTTTGGGAGAGAAGATCAGTCAAGTGCCGGTCCGCCGCCGGACTCTGGGCGGTGATCGGCGCCGTCATCATCTCGGGTATCTGGATCAGGTGGCCCTCCACGCTCGACTGCACCTCATTGTCGGCTCCAGGAATTCTCCTGTGCGTTCGGCCCTATTCAATGACGTTGACTGCTAGAAGCTTTGGGGGCCAGGCTTAATCATCCCGTGGCTCACCGAGCCGGCGCGCCGTTTTTCAATAGACTTATTGCTCGGTCAAGGGACGAGCGCGGCTTCCTCGTGTACGGAGTACGGAAGGATAGCCGCTTGTTGTCGCCACCTACCATCGGGTTCTCCATGTGTGGAGTGGACGCGTTCGCTCCCCTTGAGCTGATGGAGCCGGATCTTGTCGGTTGCCTATCACTGAAACTTTTCTCAACCAGCATGTCCCACTCTCAACGACAAGAAATCATCATGTCGAGATCCCACTCCATCGACGAAGCCATTTCAAAAACCGCTGGATCAGCGCTGAGGTGCTTGTCAGTCTCCGCTACGTTGGCTGGTTGGCACGTTCTCAGACTTTGAAGTCTGTTCACTCACCTGGGTCCCCGGGCTCATCGGCGACCCTAACATTGCTGTTATCAACTATTTGGGCATGGACCTCCCATGTCTAGCGTGTTTCAACTGTCTCTTTCGAGGTTACCGTCAATTGCCATCCCTTCGAATAGGGCATAGTGAGGCTTTGATTTGAGATGAACGCTGGGGGCAATCTCGAGAACCTTGTCGCAACTCTCCATGTTCCGCATATCCCATTTCGCTCATTCCGAAAACACCACCATCTGATCATCTTCTTCGGGAAAGGACCTGCAGAGTTGACCCAGCAAAGGCTGTTGAGCCCTCCCAAGACGGCTCATCCTCATCCAACAATTCCTTGTCTGTCGGCTGTTGCTGAAAGGATTATTGGGCCAGTCTCCTAAACCGGCGTTCCATCAGACAGGGTTGTCCCTAGCCGATCATCTGCGGAACTCTACACGCTGGAGACTAACGTCCGGGGATTTTATTGCCGAAGAGAACTTTACAATTCAGACCTGGCTCTGCCCAGGCTGCCAGGGGTCTTCAGCCGACAGATGGCCTTTGAGCTGAGGACCCCACCTGCCATCTCCTAGGCCCTAGGGACCCGGGTCGTGATCCAGAAGAATTCAAAAAGAATTGTCCGTTATTAAGAAGATGGGTTCTTGTCATCGGCTCCAGGGAACCCGTATTTGGATGGGTGCCAAATGAAGCCATCTCTATTGGGCCATCACGGCAGATGTTATTTGCCACTTGTCCGCGCCTTCGGACCTTGCCACGAGATGGAAGCTCATACGAAAGTTTGGGCAGTTCCAAGGTGATTCCACTAGGTAGTACATGGACATGCGCCTCATTGCTGATATCGGGCCGCCTTCCATTGCCGCGAAGACGTCGTCGAAGCACCAACTGTCGTGTCAGTGCAGCTACTCCTTAGTCTCTAAGCCTCATCAAAAACGTGACGGTTAGTCGAGGTGGGTGAGATTCTTAGGCTTGTTCTAAGAATTGGGTGTTGCTACTCCGTAGTAACACAGGAATTTCAGTTCGGCATGTCGTTGAAACAAAGGCCAACGGTGATTGGTTGCCTTGAACCGTTGCAATCAAGGAGGCAAAATACTCATCAGGGTCCAGCTTGCGCACTAAACACGATTAGATGACACTAGAGGATTGTGTCAGAGGTTAGTCTGTTGCGGGCGATGGGCACGTCGTGACCGCTCTTCAAAATCCCGTTTGCCCCGGTCTCTGCTAGGATGGCGGAGAAACAACCGGGGTCGCAGGAACGTTCCGCACTCGCAAAGTCCTGGCTAGCGTCGCGACACCGGCCATGGGCAAAGAGCGAATCGTGAGAACAGAGCGGTTGAATTCGAGCGCGTCAAAGTGTTGGTGTGTGGATGGCACTTGCAGCGGCAGCGGTCGTCGACGGTGGTCGTTGTCTGGCTGCAGCGGAAAAGCTGCTAGTGCGGCGCCACTCCCATCACCCGTCATCTCCCTGAAAAGGAACGGTGGATCATCTCCCTTGTGTATCCTTGCAAGTTGTGTGGATCTTGTCTCTGGTGCAATCAAGTACCGAATTCCTCTTTTTCCTTTTTTTTTCTTTCCTTTTTGCCCTTTCTCTCTTACGGATACACTAATTCTGCCAGCCCCTGCCATGCATCGCATTGGGCATAGAGGACATATTCCTGGCAAATGCCTACCTCACTAGGACCTCAGGCAGACCCGAGAAGCCGCGAGACATGTTGCTTGGTCTTGAGTCTTTACACTCCAGAGTGTGTATCGATCTTTGTATCCCATGCTTGTTGTCAAGAACACCAGCAAACCGAAAGTCAAGGGGAGTGTACCCAGTATGCATCGATAGGTTGAACATATCCGTACTTTTAGTCCGGACAGCGTTTGCGACCCATCATCTTCAGGTAAGATTTATCAAGAGAGTCTTCTAGACCTCGAAATATTGCCAAGCATCTCCATCTTTGCAGTAGCCCATGGTGGATGCTGTCCAAGATAGGTTTGGAATTCCTGAGAGATGAAAGATTCTTGGTGTGGAGAGTAAAGGGGGGGCTTGAAAGTTGATGGCAACTTCGAGTGGAGGACAATACCCTGCAGACACGGCGAGACGGACACTTTTCCTGCTCAACACGTGAAGACAAGAGATCTTTTGGGTTGTTCTTCCATCGGCAATAGCTGAATCTGCGCGAGGCAAGCGATGACATGTGGTGCGCTGGGAAACGACTGGAGAAAAGGCAGCATCTCCACTTGCGCCATTGTAGGATGGATGAGGGGCAGCGATGATCGAGGGTACCCCGGATAGTTGATGTAATCGCTGGGTCGTTTGGACGCTGACAAGCAGTACCTGGCCGGCTGGATGGCCGACCAACCAATGCCGCCAGATTATGGTTTCTCGTCCTTGTCATCCAGCATGTCGCAACCCAAACACGAGAAGGACAGAATCCTGATCATGGAAAGGATGGAAAGAGGCACGCTACGTCAGTCGAAACCCACTGGCCTCACAGACGACACTACTACCCCCCATGCGATTTACCTCTGTCAACCCCCGTCATACGTATTCGACACAGGCAGATACGGATACCCAAGGCCACATGAACCGCAGACCACCTTGTGAGGCACGGAGGTTCACTGCCTCATCCCAGACGTGTAAGCTGGCACCCGCGTCATACATGTAACAGTATGGATAGGTATTCTGTGTGTCCTAGATGCAGCCACGGGAAAGGTCGTTATTGACGCGATTTCCGTGCATCCATCAGGGAAGGAATTAATATCACAGAGCGGACAAAGTTCGTCATCAGAAATTCAGGCTCACGTCTGCATGCAAGTCATTGGGAAAGCAACATACGGCTCATCAGCCAGAGGTTGATTCTTTTGGATCGGGTAGTATAACAGACGCATTCGAAAAGAGAACCAAGCCCTTGACTTGAATCTAAAAGTGGCTACGGCGGAGTGGTGAACGTGCAGCTTATCGGAAGCTGCACACTGTTTGCTTGCTCCGTGGTTGGCAGCACCGGGTTGGTTGGCTCCATGAAAGGTATTGAATGCGGTCGTCGTACGTATAGCTGGACAAAAGTACGTGACCACCACCACGTTCATATGAGGCTCAGTGGCTGTTTGTCACTTGTTGCCGGAATTGACATTCCCACAGGAACAGTAAGGTAAGGAAGGCTGGTCGCTCCCACCAGCTAGCATGGCCAAGAGCACTTTCCCTCGGCAACACACATATGTCTTGGTTGCGTTGAGTGATGATGGATTGCAGGCATGGGCCGTCATCGTAACAGAGATGCCATGTTATGACGACAATGTCGAACCCTTCTGTCTTTGACCATGCATTCTTGCTGCCCAAACCCACGGTTGCGATGTGGTTCCAGCAGCACCCTCTCATTCAAGACCGCCCGCTCTCATCTTGTGGCAGGTCCCATGTCATCTCCCCTCCCCCTCCTAGGGACGAAGTACTCTACGCAGTACGCAGTACCTATGTAATAATGGGAGTGGGAAAGCAGAGGGATTGTATGGGATGGGGCAGGACAGGACAGGACAGACCCTGGCGTGCAGTGCAAAGTGCAGTACCCCGTACGCTTCCCACTTCCTTCCTGGCCGTCTGACTTTCTTCCGAGTCTTGCAGGTACGTATCAGGCCCGTCATTTGACGTTTCTGCTGGCGTATTTTCTCAAGACACATACTTTGTAGTGTCAAAAGCATGGGGGGATTCTTTC